GTTCTCGAGTAACCTTGATATTATTGGATCTTGTACTGAATTGCATATAGTTACGCCACACCGAGCCGTCTGTCTGTTACATATTTATGCATTTTACCAACTTAAAATCGGGTTAATGCCCAATTACCCGAAGAGCATAACTTTAATTATGCAAAAATCTAAAAGCTACAAAGATATTTCTTGTTGAAATGTTAAGATCTCAGGAAGCCTTAAAAGCGAATGGATTTCTGTACTTAGTTAAGGAATAACGCTTAAAATAATTAAGCGCGGGGTTAAGCTGGCATGTACGATTTGCTAATTTAAAATTCGAGCGAACAGACACATGAACGAGCCGAGGTATTTCGTAGAAAGCATGATTTAAACCGGCGTTACAACGTAATTAAAACGCGAAAGAAATACATCACAGTTAGCTAAAGAAGCGCAATTGTGAGCTGTGATGGAAGGAATGTCGACAATCCTTAATAAATCTTGTAAATCCTCGACGTAGGATTCTTTTCCGGATGGTTGCTTTAAAATCTCATTTGATCAAAGAGGAAAAAAAAGAGAGAATACCTGGGTGATATATTCTCTATCAACCATCCATAAAAACAAGTTGCCATCAGTCATCTGGTTTCCGACTGGCTGCCATTAGGGTGGTCCGTGAGGGAAAGCAAAGGATATTTAGCTACACAAACAAACATTGTTCTTATTTTTATCTCTTTAAAAATCTCGAGCGGCTCTTCTTAATCGATTGCCCCTAAGAAACACTATAACGTATTTTATGATCCGAGACGTCTAAGGTCTAATCCTATATCTAACTGCCTGTTAATTGTACGGTAGCTTTCACATTCTACTTTACAGCCTCTTTCATAATTTAATGCACGGATTGTAGGCTATAGACGAACCGAAGAGGAACAGGTTATAAATCATCGAAGTCGGTTTCCTTTCCTGTATTTTCCCCCCTTCCTTTCTATCCTTCGAAGAAATTTCGGAATGCAATAAAGGCCATCAACGCTAATGGGCCTTAAAAATTGCAAATTTGTAGGTTGCTTTGGTACAGTATTAAACGAGCGCTGGCATGAAAACGACGTTGCAAATGTTAATGATCGGTAGATTTATACCATGGAAATTTGCCATTTTTTTATTTTACATGCGTGAAGAGCCTTACAATTAGCAGGATAATGGACGAAGATTCGCACCAATTAACCGTCCTGTAAATTTACCGATGGTTAAGAGCTGGTTTTTAGCGATTAATTCGATCTCGTTTCGAATTACAAATTGAATTGTTTCTCGTCTCTAGACCAAAAATGGCGGCATCCTCCGTCGATTATGCCGAGGATTGGTTATACCAGATCCGGTTTTGTATGAATGACAAGAAAACTTTGTTGGAAATGTTTGTGTGTTGACAACCTTGAAAGACCTTGTTCCACATTGTTTCTTGGCGTGGGTCGTCGGAAGGACGTGTCTCTCGTCATTGTGTAGAGCACAGAACCTATAAGCATCACCTTATTAAATGTTTAGTTAGCGTCGAGTTTTATTAAGAAGGGATATTATTATCCTCTCACATCAAACATACCCTGGTAGATAGCGTTAAGTGAAAGAATTGCTTTTTATAACTCGCACCACACTACATTTATCTTCATTTTCAAACTCACTTGAGAGAAAATTTACCTCAATTAATCATATACAGCACGTTTTCTTGAATATATATCTGTGTAGTGTAGGATTTTTTCGATAAAATTAAGGACTTTCTTTCTTCCTAGAGTTAAATCTGTTTAGTGAATATCAAACTCGTTTAATCATTGTCAAAACTGGGCATTACTCTAAACTAGTACTATTAATCAAAAAGAGCTGCTTCATTTTTTATATGGAATCTAATCCGACTTATCTCTGCAGGTGGTTTCTATCAGGTGATATAAAGATGTAAAATTAAAAGAAAGAAATATCTAAAATTTCCTTCGTAAAATAGAAATTTTTGTATATTATTTTGGACTGTGAACCTCGATTTTAGGTATTCAATCACTGTGTTAAAATCTAAGCTATTGCTCTTCTTTCTGACGTTATTCTGATTTTATCTTAACTGATTTATTCTTTTATATGTATTTTTAAAGCTTATTTATGTCATAGAATTTAAGAGGCCCATAAAATATTGAATAAAAATAACTTGAAAAGTATAATCCTTTCTGTAAACAGAACATTTTTGAGGTATTATTAGGGGTTTAAACGGGATCAAGGTGGATTCTTGAGATACTAACTAAGGATTTATACAAAAACAAGATGGATTTTTAAGCATTCTCGTATGTTTATATTAATATTTATACGCTAAAATATAAAAAAATCAGTAATTAAGAAGTGAAAATTAACATATAAAGAAGCAAAGTGTGATGCCTTACAAGAAGCCGAAGACTTTAAAGAAATGGCATATTATTTTGAGATGTTTTTTAGATAAATTTTTAGATGAAACACAAGGTTTCTACAGCCAAATATGTGCGCGAACGCTCCGAAACATTCCAAATTAATTGGTTCGTAGGATGCAGCAATTAAATTATGGCTATTAGGTAGACAGGTGGAGAGAGAGAGAGAGAGAGAGAGATACCTACGAATGGTTATAAGACAGGACGTAAACGATAACCTTCCATACTCGTTTGATTTATAGCATTTACCCAGAGGACAGAATAGAAAGTAGAAACTTTAGCAGTCAATAAATTAATACTCGACGATGATTTGTTATACTAAAGGGTTTTTATATAGGGCTCTAACACCATATAAAAATTCTACACTGTAAACTACCTGCGAGGACTTTCCTAATCCCCTGAACTATTTATGATCATCTCCTGTACTATAGATGATCTTCTCTGTTGAAAATATACGTAAATCATGATCGTACGATAAAGTTAGAATGGGCAACATATAAAAAAAGGGACTTGTTTTGGGGGCATTTAAAAAGAAATATATATATATACATACATACCCATTTTTCTCCACTTAAACGAATTTTACAACTTTATTTAACTTGTATCATTTATTTTAATAATACGAAAACGTCGGCTACACGATGATAAATAAATTTTTCGAACGTACAGACTAACAGACGTGTTTTGTATTTTGCACGCTAAACAATGAACGAGTCGAATCATTTATTAAAAATGTAAAGAAAAAATCAGTTATAATTTACTGATACATATATATATTTTTTTATTTTTTTGTTAAAGTAAATTATAGAAAAAGTCAGATGAAGGGAGGTGTATTTTGACAGTTTCGTGACAACAGACAATTAGAACTAGTCAATTGTTTCCTATGGCAAAAGTTTCCTACCATCAATTAGGCAATGAAATTTTGATATTAAGCATTTTCTTACTGGAAAAAATAATGGATATTTACTAAAAAAAATAATATTTTTAATATCGATAATTATTGTAATTTTTATAATTTTTTGGGGGATTTAATTCGTTTTAATGCTCTAATTTTTCTTCCTCCTCCTTTCAAAGATTGTTGAAGATTATATATCTTCTTGACGCATAAAAGTAGGATTTTATTATTTAAATTCAATTTTAAAGCTATTTTTTAAAATTTATATGTTATAAATATGTTAGAATATTTAAAGTATTTTCTTAAAATACACTTATCGAAGCGCATAGGATCTTAAAAAGTTCGAGTGTAGAGGAGTTGGAAGGTTTTTTCTCTGGAAAATTGAGATTAAAATCTTTAGATAAGGGTTTGTTTTTAGAAAAGTCAAATGAGTAGAAACACGAAAAGTATTTATTATGCTTTTAAATTTAATGAAAAAAATAAGAATGCCTTGGCATTTTTTCGTTGTTCCATAAAAAGTATCTTTTCTGGAGCCATAGAAATGCCAAGACAGAGGAAATCTAGGGAATATTTAACAGAGGAAGGAAACTTTAAAGATTTGATTTTGTTAAATATATAAAAGCTGTGTATTATAAAAGTTTTGATAAATATTTCGAAGTTTTAACAAGTATGTATTGAAAAAAGATGGCCACGACGAAGAGGACAACGAAACAAAAAAAAAAAAAAACATACAAAATGGAGAGATTAATTTAACGCCCCAAACTATAAAAATAAATCTAGGGACAAGTCAAATTCTTCTATTTAAGTTTCCATAATAGAAAAAAAGTGTATAATGACAGAGACTAAGAACTATGACGTAACAACAATATAAGCAGACGAGGCGGTTGCTTTAGTGGCCGATACCCCGAGGGGCCCGGATCCAGGGTTAGTCAACCATCTTCGTGGTTCCTGGCAGCATCCTGCGTGGGTTCAGCTAGGACCCATATTACGTCATTATCCAAAAACTTTCTTCCTTTGTCTCAAGTCTCTTTTTACAACACGGAGCCAATGTGATGTCGAATTTCTCGTCTGTCAGATTTTTACATGTTTGTAGAGGTATTGCAACGAGTTGTTTCAGATATTTGCATACTTCAGCTGGATATAAACGTACCGGTATACATGAACATGTGGATGAAATAAAACAGACAGACATATTTCATCCGCACGTTCAGGTAGGTATACCGGTACAGTACGTGTGTACCTTGCTTCATACAGATGTTACAATGTGTGTTTTTCATGTATTTACACATTTATGAGGGATGTTGCATCGAATTGTTCAGTTTTTGACACATTTTTGAAGTGTTACAACTGCTCGTTTAGAGTTCTACACGTTTATAAAGGTGCTGAAATAAGACGTTTCAGTTTTCTACACACCCGTAAATGCATTGAAATGAATTTCTTCCCTATTTATACATTCCAATGGTGTCCATTCATTATTCCGAACACACGTACTGTACCTTTCACTGGGAATATATAGAAATAATATAAGTATAAATCTGAAAATGATTCATAAATTAAATTAAAACAAAAATGAATGAAAAGTAAATGTGCATTTATATTATTTATTATAAGTAAGAACATTTCTCATTTTGATAAACTAAAATTTCAGGTTGTTTGAGGTGAATTATTATTCAAGGTTGCACACCTATAATTGGTATGTTGGACATTTGCAGACAATGAAAGCGACGAGACGAAGTAGATGAGCGTGCTGGAGGGGGTCATCGACCGGTCCAGCCATGATACCTGTCCCAACACTCAGGGAAAGATTGAGGCAAGCTGCTATAGCGGGCCAGCCGGACCGAGTCAAGGAATATTGCAGACTAGGAGTTGCCATAGAACCTGATGAGGTGGGTGTTGGATTTGTATTCACTTATCATTCGCCTCCATTAAACGGCGACACTTTCCCCATACAAATGACCAAAACGCTCTTTTTACACTCACCGTGCAAAATCCTTCGTGTGCTTTGGTCATTTTTGAAATTGCCCGCGGATCCCGGAGGATGTTGCCATGACGTAATTCGAAAAAACCGTTTTATCTGGCCAAACTGTCCATCGCGATTGCTAGCAACGCGTTCGATCGATCAAATAATCGATTAATCGTCGCACCGATCGATTTATTTGATGGCTTAATTGATATTTATCTATCGAACACCCGCTCAATCGATCAAATCCAGTAGCGATTGCGATATTTCTTGATGTAAAGTGACGACTCGCATAAATGACTCCGACATTCAGATGCTGTTTTTTACATCAAGAAATATCTGAATGTATTAAGTCAATAGTTAATAACTTGTAGCAAGATTCTAGATCGCAATCGTTCCGAAGCAATAACGCCTGCGATCCTCACAAATCGATTAAAATCTACAAATTAAAAATCGATTTTCGTAAGCTTAAAGCCGTACGTCTTAGTATATTTTATGGTGTTAATTCATACACCAATTCGATTATAATAGATCATAAATCATCTCAACGAATAAACTACTTTCTAATTCCTCCTCTTTATCAACGTCTCGACCCTCATCAGCTTCCAATACAGTAATTTCGAAGTTACTCTATCAACAGAACTCATTGTATAGGCTTGGAAAAAAAAAATAGTTTGCAATTTTCAAACTCGTTTGATGGAAGGTGCAGACGTCATTACAATCTTATCTTTGTTTCTCTGAAAGCAGAGCAGGATCCATTCCTAAAACGTAGAAATTGCACAGGATTTGTTGGTTCTCGATTCACGTAGATTCCAAAAATTGTGTAACTGATAAGCTACAGGCTCTTCTCTCCTACGTGTCGAGATAGCGGTAATTTTACTATTTGTAGGGCCCCTTTCGGTGAATTATAGAAGACTGGAATGTACGACACGTCCTACGAGGAATTAGAGTGCTTTAGAGATAGATAAAGCATCGACTTTTGTTTACTTTGGCACTGTATATCGTGCCGATGGCTATAAATTTGATGTCCGAAAATTTGACCCCTGGGATCTTTAACACGTGTCGGTCGTGTCATTTCTTTTTTACTCAAGAAAAAAAAAGGAGGAACGATAAGTAAATTAGTATAATCGAGAAAAACACACCCAGAGGCTGGTAAAATTCCTTCGAGAAGAATCCAAGTTGCAGGTTTGGGCAAACGATCAGAAGGGGGATGAGGCACTCATCAGGTAAAGCGATCTTGCTGACTGGTCGTACAACCACACCTTTCGCTTGGTATGGGCTATAAATTCTTATATTTTAAAATAGTCTCTTTAAATATAATTTTCAGTTTATTTTAACTGAAATTTGTATATATATATATTTTTTTTCTCCCCTCTGTTTTTAGGAAGGTAGGACGGCGTTACACCTCGCTGCTGCTAACGGACACGTAGACATCGTTAAAATATTATTGCATTATGGTGCCAAAGTCAATACGGCCGATGTGGTAAGTAACTTAACATAATTCAATGATTCGACCCTTCGAGGGGGGTCAAAAGTGTATAGGTTAATCAAAGGTGTTGTTAGGTGTGCCTCGTCTAGAGTCTAAATGTTTTCATGGTCTTTTATAGAGGCCTATTCTAAGTAGGGGTCAAGAGTCAAAGTTCAGTCAAAAGTATCCCGTCAGATTACTCCCATTCATTTATAAAGAGGACACTTATTCATTTTAGTATACAGTATAGGGATTCACATGAGAATGCCCTTGTAAAATTTGAGATTTACAAAGCAATATATCGAAGCTGATGTTGTAAAGGGGTGGAGAACGTTAGAAATCGAGGTAAAAAAAAAGAAAATGGTTCAAGGATCCGATCAGTTTTTAAATTTGTAACGGTTTGTAAATTACATGCATGACCACCCCACCCACGCAGTATTTTGTAACGGTCAATCGTTACGTCAGGCAATTTTTATAGGTTAAAAACACGACGTAAAATCGAGTAAAATATCATTATAAACCTCTTAATAACGAAGATAATAAAAATTAAAAATTTTATTAAAGTCGTAATGACATAGATTTGTGTTAAACGAGTGGTTAAGATAGACAAGAACGTGATCTGTTAGTTAAACTTGGCGTGCCACAGAACATAAAGCCAAGGCTTATGTCAGATGGAAAGATAGAATGGGAGATAAAAAAATGGGGGGAGAGAATAATGTTCACTCAGAACACAGGTAAAATAAAAAAGTACTCACAGAGTGTTAAATACTTTCTCATTTGCCTTTAGGATTTTTGTATCGGAGTTGAACAGGTTCGGTCTCATAAATATGTAAAGTGTTAATGGGTGAATTAGAAACAAAACATTGGGACTAAATCCTGCTCCACAAGTCAATTGTCTAATTAAAGGTTTGGTGTTGATAACTTCATCCACATTGACGCGTTTATACGAACGATAAATTGTAATACTTGCCAGATATATTCCACGACTCTATACTTAAAATCATTAAATTATACTTTAATGGTTCCTTTATGATTAATGTGGAAGATACTGTTGAATTTTCTGTCATTAGACGTTGTAGAAATCATAAACTTTTTTGTAGTTTTTTAAACACTCGAACGCCTTTTAAACAAACACCGAGAAGAAATTCGAGATAACATCGTTACAATAACTGACTTGTTACAGCTTTCAGCTCATTAGTACTTTACAAAATATCAAAAAGTCAATCAGACTAATCGTAAATTTACTTCACTTTATCTCTCATTGACAAGTATATAGGATAAATTACCCGAATATGAATCAGTTCGATCCGACACGCAATGCATAACTGCGTGACTGACACTCGAAACTACTTATCTTTGGCGATTTCCCCTCTCGAGGGCCCACTTGAGAAACCATTTAAGAAAAAAAAAAGAGGTACTCTCGAGAGGAAGACGTACTTCAGCGTGGCAATTCTCTCCCTCTGTAGGCGTTCTTCGGTATAAGGAAGTATTTTGGGAGTAGGTCTTTAAACAAACACACCTTTTTTACGAGTGGCACTCGACTGCGACCCCTCTTCGACGTTTCTCTCCTGTATCGAATGTAACTCGTATTTGATAATTTATAATGGTTCCGAGCATTAAAAATATCGAATTATTCGGAATTTTAATCTGAAAAATTTCCGCATTCCTACATAAAGTTCAAAAATCTTATCAGGAATGTCGTCACCCTGGATACGTTCTTATTATGCCCCACCTGTAACCGGTGATCTGATCGGTTTTGCTATCTCGACACCGTGTTTTTCTTTAACCAAAAAGAATTTATCAATGAACGATGGACAATAATAGTCATTGTATATGAAGCAGATCGACCGTATCCGTTAATAATTAGGGAGGAGGAACGCACTAATTAAATTTTCAATTAATATTGGCATGGCTTCTCACAGGTTGACTCTTTGCTACAAAAAGATTTAGCATCCAAACTGGTTTTTTGGTAAAATATTATAGCAAGTGTCATTGGAAGTGGAAGGACTTAAAATTTTGAGTGCTCATTACTATTGTAACAGAGTTTGGTTGAGGTTTCTAAACAAATTTTGCTCTTGATAAGTTAAGGACAAGTCGACCTTCGATTTTTATGGAGGAGAAGAACTAATGGACTTCTAGCTTTTGTTAACCTTTTACAGGTCCGGATTTAGATTCGTTGTGTCCCTAAGCTATTGGAGGCCCGTCCCTTTCCACCAAATAATAATGGTCACCACGACATTACATATGTATGTAATGTATATTGTGTTTGAGAATAGGGTGAGGCCCTAAGTTAATAGCTTCTGTGTAACACCGGCCCAACTTCTACTAGATACATTAAAAATGTTTATGTAAATTATAAATTATGTAAAAAAGGCTCAAACTTGAGGAATTTTACGTAAAAATTTGACTAAATTCACAGTCTTACAATTAAAATTTTAACTAAAATTCAATTTTCAGGGTCGGATATATAACTATATTTATATTATTTACTAGTAGATATTCACTAGAATATATCTCTGAATTATTCACCAGGTGAATAATCAAGATATATACTTTTCAAACACGAAGAATCAAGATATTTAGTTAAATATATATTCCAAATCACGTAGAGGTAATGAGAGTTTAGTATACGTATCAAACGTAACTACATTGTACATACGAATGTCATCACAGAAAACTGGTTAGGAGCCTTTTGAATATAGACACGCGCACAAACTTCCAAACAGAATATATGGTCAAAATGTCAAATTAACTTTAAATTTATGGATAAAGGAGAAATTCCTAGACCCTGGAGAATATCCAAAATTTCAAAAAATGGAAGATAATTTGGTTAAATTCGATAAATTTCGCATACTTTACACCAAAAGAGTAAGCTGTATGCAGAAGAAAAACAATTTTTCAAATGTTCCCCCGAAATTCTGGATGTTCAGACACACACGAAATTCTGGATGTTCAGACACACACGATGTACGCCCATACGTGGGCAGTAAGACACACGTATGTATAGTGTTTTTTTTTTTTTTTAGAAACTTTCTTCGCCTCATTTACTTCATCAAAAACATTCGATAACACCTCCCGAGCTATAACGTATCGAAAGTACAAAGTCATAAATTGTATAAGAGATGAGGTGTGTGTAGAAATTATTTATTAGCGAGTAGTGCGTGCGGCACCCAGACGGCCATGAATGGAGAGGCAAGAGGTGGGGTTGGAATAATGTAATGGCGTCTGCAGATGGCCACCGACTGTTACGATGCACGCCACGTAACTGACAGTCCATAAAGCCAACACGTGACGTCCCTCCACCATACAAGAATGTTTCCTGGTCGTGACATTGCACTCTATAGGCACCGGCGCGTTTCGTACGAGTTTTCGGATATCGAAATTCTCTGCTTGAACGTTACGCTATGGGCAATTTATGCTAACTATAAAATTGATTTATTCCGAGTCTATTTTTGTTTTTATGGTACTTGTAGATTTTATTTGAATTCTGACGAATGGAGAGGGTTTCTAGCGTGTGGTCCAAAATCAGGCTGTTGCTGAATCATCCGGATGAAGAAAAATTTCTAATTAGGTGGTGCTAGTCGCAGAAAAAATGTCATTAATTGTATATATTAACAATAATAAAATCTGTAACGTGTTCTAGACGATAACTGCTCGGTTTGCTGTGGAGGTCGCGGCTGTTGGCGTGCTCCAGAACTCGCAAAACTGCACCATTTATCTTTTCACCATAATTGTTTAATGTCTTTTGCATGCTATGACGATACCCTTATACCATTAAAGAACTTCACAGAATATTCCAATAAACGTTACGAGATATTCTTCAATTAATAGTGCATCAATCAATACAGGATTATGGAAGATTTTCCTTTCGGAATCCAGAAAGAACAAAAATTCACCAGTGCAAACTTCGATTTCACACGAAAATTTGGAATTTAATTAATAAAATTTTCTATTAATCGCCACGAGAAAATAGTGTCGATCGTGTGCGAGCAGATGACATCAACGATAGTTGCGCATGGCAACATGGCGAGATTTGCGTGCTTCAAGGATGAATGATTCTCTAGTGGATCCAACGCGTGGCTACATTTTGCCAACGATTCGTTGGAGCAACTTAGGAAAAAGAAGAAAAAATAAAAAAAAAGCAATTCGAGGTCAATCACACGGGTCGCGCATGAAGAATCCAAGGAAGAAAAAGCGTTAATTGAAGTAGGAGGATGTAGATAAGAACGTATTCCTCGAGTTGCAATTTTTTATTTCGTCTCCGGCAGGAAATTATATATAATAAACGGGAGTGGTAATACCTGCCTCTTGAGGTATCTGACCAAAATTAATCAAATATCTGGCAGCAAAGTCGAAATTCGTGGACGAGCCACGCTTCCCGGCTCTTCATTTGCATAATGGTCCTTCTATTTTTTTGGGGGACTTCTGGTATTATTACATTAACAGATAATATCGATACGCGTAATACGTGAAATTTAAATTTGTCACGAAAATTAAACCCGCTCCAGTTTTGGATCCATTAACTAATCACTTTTTAGATTACGTCAGACTTGTCGTCACTACTCTCCGACGACGTAATAATTAATGGGATTTAATTCGTAATTAAGTGACGCCACGAATTAACCGATTAAACAATTAAATAATAGATTTTTAAGGGAAATTTTATGTAAATTCAACGATTTATTCAATGCCCATCTTCGTCTGTACGCAATAAGCGTTAATTCGCATCTACTTATTTGGGTTTTTTTTGCCACTAAATAATAATGATGTACGGCCTAAACGGTCGTTTATCATATAAATTGTGAACGTATTTAAGTTTTGCCATAATTTCTGACTAAATGACTTTATAGATTAAGTACACATCGAGTGCTTCTATACCAGAGAAACGTGTTCGGTTACAAATTACCGCCATGTTTATTTTTTAAATCTGATTTTTTTTAATTATTACTGTACTTTAAAAGTATGAGGTCCAGTATTAAATAAAATAGTTTTTAGTATTAATTATCACCTTCAAGTAATTTATCTTAATGATATGAATCAAAAGTAGTAATTCAATGATCCAATTTAACGATTTATCATTAAAAATTCGAGAAATAATTTGCTATTTTTATATTTTTAAAAGTTTTTTAGACTTAATTTAATTTTATTTACATATTCTGTGGTTTCTTTCTCTATGTATGGATGTGTATGCGGGGGCACGATTTTCTTCACCCCTTTGAAGCTTAATAACTCCTGTGTCCTTTGTGGAAAATTTCTGAAATTTTGTAGAGAGGTTTGTGTATTAGGGGCGTTGATGTTATTAAATTTTGGTGGTTAAAGATCAAGAGGTTGAGGAGATAGAGGGGGTTCACGTGTCGAGTATCTTGAGTAAGGTCGGACTTAATGATATTATTTTTTATTAGTATTTACAATACTTTATAAAAGTCACATCTAAACTCAAAACTAAGCGTTTTGCTATTTTATTATAATATAAACAGTTCTTTAAAAATAAAATCGCTTAACAGATGGTGCCACACACTATTTTAACTCTTGCCAGGAAAGTTACGCAACTCGTTGCTGGTTATTATTTTTTTAAATAAAGTATTCTTGAGTAAATTGAAAGAAAAACAGAGTATTTTCGATTATTTTACGCCAGAAAACACGAAGAATTTCTGTATTCTACGTAGGAATAAACGTAAACGATTAGCGTCAATAATCGATCAGGACGAAAAGGAATTTGTCTGGATACATCAGATAAAAGAAAAAAAAGATTGTGTATAATTACTGCTACAACTTGTATAATTTGCGTGTTGTTTACTTGCAAATGACAGTCGATGAATATTTATTAAACCGCTGGAAAAATCTGTCACCTGCAAAAGAAGAGAATTCTACGAATGACAAATTATCGTGTCTACTTGACGGCTATATTAAATTTCCTTATGCTAATTTTTCTCATCTTCGTTTCGATGTTTCTCAGGATCCATTATCCGGTTTACGTATTGCTACCTTTTTCTTTTTCTTTTTGCTAATTAATAATTTACACATTCGACTTTTGTCTGTCCCGAAAAATGACCGGATGTGTACAGAATGAGCCGTATTTTACTTTTCCATTTACATAAATGTTTTTACGGAAACAACTTTTTGCCAAAGTTCATGGTTCCACTTCGTAATTTTTCGCTAATTTTTCTGTTTTTTTAATTGAGTTAGTTAAAAATAAGGCCGATTATTATATAAATTTCACTGACTAACCTGTTTGGGAAAGACAAACTTTCGATTAATGCCTCTCTAGCCTGTTTGGGAGACTCAAAACTCTCGCTTTTTATAGAGAAATGGGCACATTCCGAGCGAGAAAACTTAATATTTTTACTGAGAGATTACGTGAATAGTAAACTAAACTCCTAAAGAATAAATTTAAAGAGAAAAACTTAAGCCATGTTTGTACAGATTACGAAAGTATGAATTGTAAATGTGTCTAGAAGCGAGATGGCACCAAGAAAAATGGCAGGAAAAACACTAAAAAAAAAAGACATAAGGCTAATACCGGTTCTGTACATACTTATCATTCGTTCTCTGCTCGTAAACATCACAGCATGGTGTCAACTGAAGAAATGACTGTTCGTCTCTCTACTCGACCGAACTCTGTGCCTTCACATACTGTACAGAATTGGTTGCAGCTCCACGTTTGAAGTAAACCCATTAACTGGTTATTAAAAGCAAAAGATTGTTATAATGAGTGCTTAAAACTACAAAAAGAAAATACCTTTCAATCATGGCCACAGCCGCAACAGCTTGGAGCACCCCCTGCAAAAATGTTTGTTAGTTCAGACGTGAAGCAGGGAGGGAATGCAGATTTTCTGTTTTTTTCTCTGTTTATTATCTCGAGAAACACGCCATTCCGAGATTAAGATGCTGCGAAGGTCGAATAGTAATTTATGTAACATCTTTCAATCACACGTAGGTGAAGTGTTCATTGTTCCAGCGCACTTTTTCAACTGCCAAAAAAGTATAGGGTCGAGATCACGTTAAGAGCGGAAAAAAGAATCAATTTATAGGGGCGATGATGCAGTTAAGTAAATAGTTGCATGTCTAAACACAGGTTTAACAAACTAGGTCCTACTTATACAGAGTAAGGGGGGGAAAGAAAGAAAGATACCCGCTTACAGCGCACGGGAGTCGAGTTAATAGCAAATTCATTACAACAAATTTCCGTATTTTCTACACAATCACGCATCCGATCTATTGTTTAAATGACGGTTGAGTATGTTTTAAAGAACTAAGATTAAATTCAATGACCTTAAAAACGTGAGATGGGGTCGTTCACACCGGAATCGAGACTCCAAACTTCTTAGCAAGGGCGGAAATTGTAGCAAAAGATTTTGTTTGTTTTATAAGATAACAAAACTGGTGAAAAATGATTGTGCACTTAATAACAGAGAGAATTAAATGTAGGTTGAATTGAAACTCATTCACTTATCGCCGTACTTCAAAGCTCCGGATACGTTCTTCACCCACGGATATACGAGATTTTTATATGGTTATAATGTTAAGTTTCGTAAATATACGGTTTAAAGTCTATTTTTCTTCGACTATATTGATGTAGGGGTGGGTTTGATAGCTCTGGATCCATCAAATTCCCCGAAAACACGAGATGCAGGGATAGAAATCCATGGAAACACCACATCTTCCTCTCTTCCAAGAAATGAACTTTTTAAACAATTATTACATATAATCGCCCATTGGCTATGTCTTTATGGTAATTTCGATCGTAACATATCTACTTCATTTGGCATCGTTACCCTTTACGACTTTCATTAGTCTTACATAGCGAATGGCATACGTTCACGATCTCTCGATACATCAACACCGTAACAAAAGCAAAAAGATTGAACCTCCCAAAAGATTGCTCGTAAACCACTGGGATAATTAAAATTCTCAAATATTTGAATAGATTACCATATACAGCAAATTATAAACAGGTATGAGGTAAAGCAGGATATTTTGTTAGAGAAAGAAACCTCTTGACCTCTGTCAACATTTATTATACCACCCTGTGACACACCAGTATATCTCTGGAGCATTGAATAGACTTTAATGGACATTTGTTAAATGTTGTACTCATCAGTCACAGTTTACTGCTGGGATTCACAGGGATTTTTTTTAATCGTTTTGGATTCCTTTCAGTCTGCATCCATGTAAATATGTCTTTGTGTCTTAAGTATCAATCTGGCAATGCCCTCTCCTTCGTGTTGATCAACGTTATCTTTCCAAGAATCTGTGAAGCTGTGCAATTTTTCTACCTTTATCGTTTCTTGCAAGCACTAGCTCCAAGTTTCCATGGTATGGAAAGTGACAAGATCAATAAATATGGGCGAGATCCTGTTTTAAATGTGCACATTCAGTTTAGCAAGATGAATGTGAAAAGGATCACTTCCTTTCACGAACGTGGATGCTTTAATCTTTGTTATCCTGTCTTGCAACAATAGCTAATTGAGATTAAAAATGGTAACGAAGATTGATAACACATTTTTTCCCCCACTCTACCAAATATTTGGCCTGGAGCCACCTTTCTTTTGTCAGGGTACTCGAAAGTTTATTAAGACATCTAACACCCAGCAACGATCGAAGTTTCCATCTTTCATTCAAGTAATTCGCGTGTTAATCGTGTTTATTATATTATTAATATCAACAATGAAACAATGCATCATTTACAAATCATTAAACTCGTCGAGTGGAGTAAAAAGTGTTTGAAACTTCCTGCTTCACCCTGTTTAACAAAATCTCTCCTCTTATATTCGCAAGACGTGAAGATAAAAGGATCGAGTAGATGACCATCAGCTACATTTGCACACTAATGAATGAGCTGAAAGCTATAACAGGAAGTTTAAGCATACAAATTTGCGGCTGTATTGTTTAATCTTCGTGTCCTAGGTGACTAGAATCATGTTATTAATACCAAACCTGTAGAAATAATGAAATTTCTTTAACTCGTCACTGAAAATTTATACAATTCCCTAAGGGTTTACGAATACAATAATGCCACCAGCTGTATGCTGCATGCTATAAAAATAAACATAAAAGTAATTGATTGACGTTCTGTGATGAGTAAATATTTTCAAATCCGAGTTTAATTTACATACGAGCCGATTCATTTACATATATATGTAATAATAATTTATACATGCTACTGTTTACAGATAACACTCCCCCAGGGAAACGAGTTCTTCATGTAATTTAATTATATTTCACCGTATCTAAGATATATCAGAAATAATTGTGACGTTTCGCTCTTAGGAAAGTTTATTTTTTTAGTGTTTTTTTCTTTTTGTTCTTCGGCGCGTAAATGAATACGAAACCGAGTTGCAACAATGGGGAAGATAACCTTACACGAGTTGACAATTTCATTAAGATAACGAACTATCAATCAATATATAAATTATGAACATGTTCATTTGCCTTAAGTAATGAAACTGTTATTAAGAATAAAATGAATTGTACAAAACCAGATTATAAAACCTGTTTTGTTATGTTTCTGTGTGTGTGTATGTATATAGGCTGGATACACTCCCCTCCACCAAGCATCCACCGAAGGTCATGTCGAAGTTGTCAGGCTGCTGTTAAAGAATGGAAGTCATGTTGACGCACAGGACGAACACGTAAGCATAATTTCGATATTATTAAAATGTAAAAATAAAGAAAAATACTTTAAAAAAGAAGGTTAGAATTTTAACAATGCGCCTCTAGCTTGTGCAGGTGCGCTTGTGGCACACGCAAAAAAAATCACCCTATTGTTAAAAAGCTACCATCTTATCTTCCTTACCTACGATAGCATCGTGCATTCAATCTGTTTTATGCCCCTGTAGAGCAACGCCAAACACTGTATCGACTAATAAAATGAATAATATATTTCAACAATTATTTTTTGATAGAATAAATTCACGGGGGTGAGATTTTAATCTGTGCGCCAATGCAACAGTTTGTAAGTTATGGAGCCTATCGCGGACCAGTGACATTATTCATCATCGTTCATAAAAGGCGTGGTAATTTCATAACAGGGCGTAACTTTCGGTTCGGCTATCAAGATAACTTAATCAAGAAATCATTTACTGTATGCCCATAGACTCCCCATACATTCCGACTTTCTTAGACACGTTTTAAAATTAGTGAAGTCACTAATCATAAATAAGATTTTAACGCCACACCAGGCAGTAGCTACTAGCGATATTTTTGAAATTTTCTGGAGAATGCCCTTCCTTTAAATTTCCTCCTCTACCAAATTACTCGTAAAATACAGGAGTGCAATCAAAGATAAAGGGTGGAGAGATTTTTAAGCGAGGGAATTCCCGAATTTTAAGAGCCGAAACGACTTACATGCGCTACACGACTGAAAGAACAAGTCATGAATGTTGACACAATACAAGATCACTTTACCAGAAGAGGGCTCTTACCTGTAGTGTAACAACTTGTTTCTATTGATTTGGTAAGTTCTGCGATGTGTGGTCCCTTCCTCAAACCATCCCAATCATTAATTCGAAGATCAAAGATAGCTGTCAGCAACATGTCTTCAATCCGCTTATTCGAATTAACTTAAATAAATATCATTTAGTATTGTGATTATAGGCCACAATCACTTGATACGGATTGACAAGAGTCCACTCCTATTCATTTCCCCCTCTCTGATCACGCACATGTTCTATAAAAAGCATTGTATGTACGTACTTGTACTTCTTAAGCAATAACACTATGTCGAGTGCCATTGTTAATAACAATTTACTTTTTACAGCATGGAAACACAGCTCTACACGAAGCTGCCTGGAAGGGGTACAGCCAGACTCTGGAAGTTCTTTGTAAACATAAGGCTAACGTGTATATACTGAATAAGGTTTGTAGTATACACTTAAATATTTATTACAGATTTACTTACTGCTTATTATTAATGCAAATTTATGCTCAGGATACGACCACAACCTTGAATTCTTTAATTCTGTGACTGTTTCACACGATTAGGGTGTTGGACTTAATTACTATTCATCTAAAAACGGCTACTGAATACAAAAAACTAATTAATTAATAATAATTTAACAAGAAATTTGTTAAAATTGTAAATGAAAATTAAGTTATTCTTATTTTTTAGGGTGGTTTCTCGGCACTTCATCTTGCGTGTCAAAATGGTCATAATCAAAGCTGTAGGGTCATACTCTTATCGGGATGCAAACCGGACATAAAAAATAATGTAAGTGTGACGATTAATATTTTTATTCTTCTTTTAGTTTACAAATAGAAATATTAAATTAAATATTTATAGTATGGAGACACACCACTTCATACAGCTTCCAGGTATGGACATGCCGGAGTACTTAGGATACTGATAAGTGCTTTCTGTCATACATCCGAGCTGAACAAAGTATCGTATCATAGCTTTAATTATAAATTTAGTAGATTTTTCTAGGTTTAGTAATTTAAAACTTACTTTAGAATGGCGACACTGCTCTACATATAGCAGCGGCTATGGGGAGAAGGAAACTAACAAGAATCCTCTTAGAGGCAGGATGTGATCAAATGATAAGGAATAAAGTAATTGATTAAATATTATTCTTAATATAATTAATTATGCATGGCTAATAATTGTGTTTTGCATATGATTTTCTGTAGCAGGGTGAGAGAGCCATTGATATTGCAGAAAGGAAAGAATTTACGGAAGTTCAAAATATACTTTTAAATCCACCCGCTAAAGTTATTCACGTGCAGCAAAAGAGTAAGGACGAAAAGAAACAAAATAAGAAAAGGGATAAAGGAAGTGGAACGTCACAGGGCAGTAAAGACAGCACTAATAAGCAGAGAAGAGATAAACATAAAAAGGTGTGTGTTAGTATCAATAAAAACGGTACTCATACAAAATATAATTGTATTTAACATTATTCATACAGAGCAAACACGGCCATAAAGTTCACTTTATGGACGAAGGCAAGAAAAATGTCCTTTGGAACGGTCATTGGAGTCCTTACGGATGTCCCATGTTTCCCAATATGGCGGATTTCCCTTCTCCGAAACTAGATTCGCTTCCACCAGAACCTTTAAAGAAGGGAGAACAATATTACATAGATCTCGAAGGAAATATTAAAAAAGTATATCATATTCTAATTATTAATTACTAAATAATTTATCTTTTCGTTAAGAAAACTTAATTAATTTAGGGTCCCGTTGGCGTTGGGTACAGTTGCTACTGCGCTCCATTTTTCCAACACGTAGAAAAGAAGATGGAGGTGGATAAGCAAGAGATCATGGATCATATAGATCACGCTCACGACGATTTAAACGATAAAATTGCCAGTTTAGAAAGGAGGACAAGGACTCAAATATTAAATATGAATCAGACTATGAAAGAAAAATTAGCAACCGAACGGGCGGAATGTATCGAAAGAATAGAAAGACGTTCCATGAGAGAGAAGTTAGAGTTAGAGAAAGTTCAACAGCAAAGTGCGGATTGTATTAGGAAGGAAATGAAGTCGTGGGTTCATAATAAATTCTCAGATATCGAAGATAGAAAGAAACACGACGAAAATATTCACCATAATCACAACGAGAGGACTCATTTGCAGCAGTCATTGGAGGGTATAATGAGGACTAAGTCGGAATCCGAATCGGACGACAGCGAATCCTTGCAAGGGACTACAGCAAATAACCCAATTCTGTCTTATCAGAATAACAACAATAATAATAATAATAATAAAAGTGAAGCGGCTAACGGGTGTAACGACAGAGACGATCATCCACCTGTGGGACAAGTGCAAAGGCTACGGACCGATTTCGAAAAGTTAGGCGCAAGACCAAAATATTTTGTTCCTACGTCGTACCAGTGCCCCAATAGCGGATCCAATATAAACGACAATAAAGATTCAAAAACTGATTCTAAGGCCGAGAGTGAATCCATAAATAGTGATCTCAGGGCGGGCGAAACGTGTCCCCAACCTTTAGAAATTTACGTGGGGGAACATCCCAAAGAATCCACACCTGATTCCGGATACCACACCAAGATGTCACCGAGAATTAGTGAAAGCAGTGGATCACCGTATTGCCAACCTTTATCCAGTTCGCAGTTGCCTCCTCAATCGTATCACTCTGGTATTCCTAGTCAGTTGTATTCGCATTGCCATAATGGTCATAATTCCGTTAACCATAATGGACTCCCCCCAGCTTCTCAGTATATTTATAACGAAGAGAGAAGGTCGCTAAACGGTACGCACCGCGCGAATAATTCCAGTCACGTTCACTTTACCTGCGTCGATCATCTGTGTAAACTTAACGAAGGACTCAATTTGTCCGGTGATGGATCAAGTTTAGTGTAATTATTGTATTTCTAATGTAAATATTATTTACACACGGCGTCATTGTACAGTATTAACATAATAAAATGCTTCGCATCTCTACGTTTATTTTTTAATATCGATTATTACACTAACAGAAAAATGTAATCAAACTTACCACACTTAAGTTTCGTTTAGTTTACTTTCCAGCAAGGCATAATATGCTCTGTTTTTCATTAGGAATTTCCCGTTGAGATGAAATACTGGAATTTCGTAACGATATTTCCCGTATAAGTGCTTATTTTCTGGCTGTGTTATATCGATTTCTACGAGTCGTACCCTATGCAACAATGGTCTTATTACTTCCTTTGCTTCCTCGCATAATGGGCATGGATGTTTTGTGTAGAGTGTTAAGACTGGTAACTCTCTATTTGTAAAAATAATAATTCATGTATTTTATCAAAACCTAGACATTAAAAATGCTTTGAAGATTTTATCTTAAAAATATGGGATGCTGCAAAGGGGTAACACAAAATTTTTATTTCCATCATTAATTTCACTGCAGTGAAATGGCATTTACAAAGCTTACCTGCTATTTTTCTTCACTGGATGCCAAAGCAATAACTAAACCATTACACAACAAAAGGCATGCTAAAGAAGGAAATATATATGGTGTGTATCAATTAAATTATTATACTTTAGTTCTATGTATCAGTTGACTGAATTTTGAGTTTTAAAATGACAAAGTATTGTAAAACTTATCAGATTAATACAATACGTTGCCAAATCATTTTGAATTTATAACACCTTCAAATTTAGGAGCATGCTACTTTTAATCTAGAAAAATGACATAGAAAGCTAACTGCTGTTTGTACAGTAATTTTTACCAGTTTTATGTAAATTTTTGTTTACAATTGATCAGTCTCTCTGACTAAAGTATTTGATGTATTAAAAGAAATAATTTCTTTTGTTAATTCCTAATAAACAAACATTTCAATATATTCTACAATAAGGGATCTTTCACAAGGATTATGATTCTGAAACTACAGGTCTTCTGTATTACACAAAGGGAATGAATACAGTTTGTAATAAAAAAATTATAAAACATACATAGATGCTAACATACAGTTAATTTGAAATAAATTGTTTTTAAATCAGAAAAAACAACAAAATTATTTCCAAATGTTAATTAAAATATTTTTGATGATAATATGGAATTGATACAGCTAAGTGAATTTGATATTATAGAATCCTCTTAAATGTATTATCATTTTGTAACTAATGCAAACTTATTAAGGCTCTGATTGAGTTGCAATGCAAGTAACATTTAAGAAATATTTTAAGAAATTCTGTAAGTTTTATGTAAAATAATAAACTTTTACAATCTTTATTGTACATTTAAAGGTTTGGCTTTGTGCAATTTTAAGCATCATACAGATTAAAGACAAGTTTTCTGTAACCTAATAGCATCTTGAGCAGACCACTATTTGGTTTGGTGTTATGTCTGGTTATAGCCACCTTTTTCTGGTCTTGAGTTGTAACAAGTTTCTATAACAAAACTGATGAGCCAGAGGAAGTGGGAAAGGAAAAAGTGTTTATGTCACCAGTGCTCAAGTCCATACAAGTATTTATTGACGTTTTGGAGGGAGTAGGTTCATAACCTACATGTGTTGTAGATTCCATGTGCACTACCAAGCATGTTTCAATTTTCAATTTCAATTGATGCAATACTACATTATGGCAAATGCTCTGTAACCTTTACAAGATTTTATATTTAGCAAATTAGCTATCAATTTATGCATACTTATGACATCAGACACTAAAGCATTCATTATTTTAAAGCAGTAAATTTTTGATATTTTATTTACATTTAACAATTTAATCAATGTAGAATCATCAAGAAATTAAAAATATTTTTAATTGATTGGTGTTTAAAAATAAATTTCTTATTATAACGCATTCTTGAAGAATATATGCAAATTCTTTCTTTTTAAGCATCTTTGTAGATGAAGAATTATATTTCTTCAATGCAATTCATGTAGAATTGCATTGAAGAAATATAATTCTTCATATAATTCTGAACAGATAATGCTAATTCACTCCAATTTGTAATGATCCTGGACTTCTTATGCCGTTTTTTATCTATTAATTTAACTTCAAGATGCGGGGTACATTGCCTAGTAAAGTGGCTTTAATATGGCCAGGCCAGATAAAAGCCCATTTCGTTTGAAACAGACTGTCATTGGTTTGTTTTTCTGGCCACATTAAAATCGCTTTACTGGCTGACATAACCGTTGCTGTTTCTTCAAATCGTAAAGAAAATAAATAATAAAATAAGTCAAGGAACATTTTAACTGACTTTTAATGATTCCTTTAATTTAATTCTTAAATTATGTATTCAGAGTTTGAAATCGAGATAAGTGATTTGAAATATATAATTACAAACCATAATCATTAATGAATATATGAATAATATTTATTTATATTTTTTTTTATCTGATGAAATTACCATAGAAATCTGATCTACAGAACTCAATTTTTCCTATCAAACACTTTATGATGATTTATTATTGTATTTTTATAAAATACCAAAAGAAATTCGAATAAATTTCTTTTATTAGAATTTCTTTTGAATTCACTGCTTATATTAGAATTAGAATTCACTGCTTATAATTAATTCATTCTTTAAACTTTGAGCTCTTATCTGTCTAACCAAATGTACTTAATTTGTATAAATTTGATCAGGATTTTGTTTAAAATCATAATTAAAAACTGTTTCCTTAAATAAAATCAGATAAACTTTGTCTGCACACCTGTTTACTGTTGCCTGTAGCATTATTTTTTAATCACTTAGTTTCAGATTAATATCTGATTAAATATTCATAAGATATAACTTTTACTTTTAAAAAATATAGAAATATTGTATGCAGTTTTTTATTTTTTATCCTTATATCTTTATATGAATAATACTTCATTTTATTTGTCGTATTTATCAATAATTCTATCATGACATGTCAAAGAAGAATTTTACACTTCGTTATCAACGGCATTTTAATAATCATACCACACATTCAACTGTATGTATTTATACATTTAAGTTAGAAATACTTTCAACTTACTGTATTTTTGCTATTTCTTCATTTATATATATGTTAAAAATTTCAAAAATTGCTTCTTGTTTATTTCAAAATGTGTTAACAAGTTTTGTGTAAAAGTATGGTACATGTACTGTACATCCAAATGATGTCCCATAAGTACAAAGCCACAAAAGTTAAGTTGATCTTTGTGTACTCTTTCAGGTAAAGCATGACACCAAGTAAGGAGGAATGAATTCAAGTTATTTTGATGATAGTGGGGAAACGAAGTGGTTGGGATGCAGCCTGTTAAACACTTCAAGTTCTTGCTAACTGCAAGTCTCTACCATCAAAATATATTAATTTCATTCCAGTTGGTGCCATGCCTATTTATAAAAGAATAAGCAAAGACGGATCAATTGAACACACTACCCCCCCACACACACACAGGGTATCCATGATCCCCTTCATATCTGGGTCTTTTCTTTTTACTAATGAAAATTGTTTTAAAATATTGAACAAACTATTGCTTATAAGTTTAACATAATGAAAACACTATGTTTTAAGGAAATATACAAAACTTGGCACCAATGAACAAATATGAAAAAAAAAAAATCATTGATCTACTTAATCAAAAACTAGAAATATATGGATAAAGTGAGAGTTTATATAGTGAATACAAATTATTAAAATACAGGCATTTTCCCACTTAATGTCAGTACTGAATAAAATACCTATATAAGTAACAAACTATTGTGTTTAGATGTAAATGCTTACCTTAAAGCATCATTTCCTGATTGCCAAGCAATTACTTTGTACAAACAAATGTACTACAATGTAATAATGTGAGTGTTATTTGCTGTGTTGTAAGAAGTTTATGATACAAAACAGCAGTAAAGAAATTTATCAAAAAAATGCTGACAAAATTTGCAATAAAATGAACTGCAATATATGTTTAGAAATGTCTGACAATTCAGCAAATTATGTAATTGACACTATTCTAGATACATCATAAAAACATGTTGAGACTGTTAGAGATGTTAATATGATATTATAATGTGATGCCCCTTCAAGTACCAACTACATTCAAGACACATTCAATTTCTTGTTTTTCACTGAGCTAGTCAACTATATCTGAAATGTAACTTGAGATTTTCCCACTTATTGTTTTGTTAAAGACATGTTGTATTTTTAGGATGTAAATATGTTTCTTATATAAATATTGTATTGAAAGATACATTGTACAAAGTTTGGGTATTAAAAATCAAAGGGTATTCTACCAGGAAATATTAGATGAAGATATCTGTATTTAATGATGTGGATTTTATTTTCTAAACATTATATTACAAAATTAAAGAGCATTTCACTTTAATATTTGTTGATTACCCTTCAAATCTAACCTCTAAAGTTTATCGCAGCAAGTATTAGACATTAAAACTGATGGTTCTATGGTCTATTTTTATTTTGAAGATGCAATATTTTGTTCCTAGAACAACTGTACCTACATATTTAAAGCCAAAAAATTTCTGTTATTAATGAAAAAGATGCATAGATTAAGTTGTTGAATTTGGCTAATTCTCTTTATTCCATAAATTATCTTAAAAAGTTTTCTTGATTTCTGTTATATATATAGCTTATCATTAACAATTATTGAATAAAATGAAACAATAAAACAATTTATTTCCTCGTAGTTTTTTCACTTTTGACCTTGCCCTTTTGACACCCACTTTAACTAAGTTATTCCTCTTTTAATTATTAAATTTTTAAAAACTGTTTGCACATAAGCTGCCTATATACTAAAGTCAATACTCTATGTTTATAAACATTATATACATAATTATTCTATTTTTTATTAACTTCTGTTCTTAAATGCAGAACAAACATTTGTTCTCAAACATTCAATTTTCATGTAATTTAAAGTTAAAAGCAAAAATATTTCTAGCTAGAAGATTTAAAAAACAATGTCTCAGAAAAAGTGCAAAGAAACAAGTCTTTCAATTTCACAAAACAGTTCCATAAAAATCAAAATTATATATGCATGACAGATCTTTCCTTGAAAGCATTTGCCAGAAATGGCAATTTTACCCCTCCTTGTTGATAAATACTACTAAAGCAGTTATGACAGAAGTTTATGTATTGGCAAAATATAAAATGGCTTCGTCATATCTTAATTAAAAGATTTCGAAACATGTCTTTCAATTTGACGAAAATTGCACGTTTGAAACAGATCTTTCCTCTCGGGCATTTGTTGGAGATAGAGTTTCATCCTCCTCGTCCAGTATATAATTTTCCTTGTTACTAAACTACTTCATCAAACTGAAAGATAATTAAAGATGTAACAAAGTCATTTTATATTTTATAGAGCATTTTGGTTATCCGAAACGGTTCATCTTTATTATATTTTTTTACAGCATTAATATTTAGTGGATGTTAGCATATTCTTTATTCTATGCTCCTATTGTTAATTAAATAAATCTACTCTTTTTCTTTTATAAAAGTATTTAAATAAATATTTATTTCAATTAATATTATATGCAACATAATTGATTAATACATTTTTGATTATGTTTTAGTTTGTCATCACAGATAAAACATTAGCGTTGCAATTATTAGATACCATTTTAAACATTGCCACTTGGACAAGATAAAGTGTAAATATATATTTATATATATAAAATAACAATTTAACCCATGATTAACTTTTTTTATATTATGCCTAAAAGCATAACGTGCATCTAACTTACATCTTCTGTATCAACATGGCAGATGCACCGCCTCCTCCGTTGCATACGCCAGCCATTCCGTATTCGCCAGGTTTTAAGGAAAAAGCTAAATGGTTCAGTACTCTGGCACCCGACATTCTAATATTAATAAAATATTTATATTAAACATTTCTAAACAATAAAATATTAAAATTTGATAAATTTTATATGAAATATACCCTAAAGGATGTCCTAGACTGACGGCACCTCCCCAGGTATTCACTTTTTCCAATTCTAAATCGAGTATTTTCACATTTGATAAAGTCACAACACTGAAAGCTTCATTAATTTCCCACAATGCAATTTCACTCTTTTTGATTCCAGTCATTTCCAACAACTTTATGGGGGAGAATCAATATCGATAACTTTTTAGATTAAGTTTAAATAAATTAAACAAGTTTAATGAAAATTAAAAATTACCTTGGTTATTGCAAAAGAAGGAGCAATAGGAAAATTTATTGGTTCAATTGCAGCATCTGTAAAACCTGAATATAAAAATGATTAACTATAATAAATTTATTAANTATAATTACATTCTATATTCTTTTCATCGTTTCGTAGATAGAATTGGAAAAATGCCTGGCACTCGTTTTCCTTTTACTTGTTGATATTGATATTGAAGAAAGACAAAAGCCTACTCAGAGGTTCAGGCTGGAAGGGAAGAGAAGGAAGAAGGACAAAAGACAGATTAAAGCAATAAGGAAGCACAGGGATGACCTGGTCAGATAAAAAGAATGGGTGAAAACACACAGCACTCATAAGCAACTAATATAAATATAATTAACTGTTGTGCTGATATTTGAGTAATTAGACTATTGCTGGATCCTGAAAACATGAAGAAGGACAAAAGACAGACACTTAATTTTGTGTTTCTTCTACACATAAAAGAAACACTGTTTTTGCCTTTTATACATTATTTAGATGGTGACTGACTAAAGTGGTCTAAAGTGTTAGTTTTTTAAAAATCTTCTAGTTTAAAAGTTTATTTTTTATTATAATACTGTAACCAATTGTCTTGTTTACACTTAAATTGAAATATTAGCAATATGAGTTAAATTTAAAAACAATTAGAATTTATGTGGAAAACTAACAAATATTCATAATTTATTTGCTATTTTCAGTTAATATAAATTTGAATCACTAACAGTTAATGTTAATTACGTAAGAAACAGTAAATATTTAGTATATTGCTCAAATAAACAATATACAAGGTGTCCTGTAAGTCTGGAACCATTGCAGTTAGGTTGACTTTGTTTATTCTTTTACAGGTAAAGCATAGTGTTGAGTAAGGAGGAATGAGTTCAAGTTATTTTGATAGTGGAGACTTGCAGTAAGCAAGAAGTTGCCAGACAGTTTAATGGGCTGTATGCTGACCACCATATGTGATTGATGGGCAGCCTTTTAAACTCTGGCAACTTCTTGTTGACCACAAGTCTCCACCATCGAAATAATTTCAATTTATTCCTCCTATTCAACACTACACTTTACCTGTTCTATAGTTCTAGACTGATGTGACTGTGTATAATTTATAAGTGAATTCAGTTACTACAGTGTAGATATACTTGTATATAGCTTAGATTATTCTTCAGCAAAGATTTTATCAAATCAGAATTACATTTTACAAATGAAAAGAGAAAATATCGTAACTATACTTTTAAAGACTACTCTCATTCCATAAATCTTATTAAAGAAGTGAATTATTCCAGTTTTAATTTTAAAATTTGAAATAAATTAAACTATAATATTTTGAACTTCAGTAACTTACCAATAATTTTTGCCAAAGGTTTGATATTTAACTTATCAGCTGCATTTCTTGTCATTAGGACACAAGCGGCTGCACCATCTGCTATCGAACTAGAATTAGCTGCAGTTACGGTACCTAGGAGAAATTTTAAATAAACATATCAACTATGATATTTTGTATAAAATATGGAATGTGAAAAACAGTCTCAAAGGTGGAAGGAGTAGGTGGCAAGGGCCAGCATTTCTGAATGGAACTTGAAAAACAAAACACCAGTTTTGAACATTTGGGTAAATGTTATACGCTGTAGAGTTTTTGGAGTTAAGGTTAATTGCAACCTCTTTGGTTATGCACACAATCTCAACAAATGACATGAAAAATTTAATGCCTTTTCTATGGGAAAATCCTTTTATAAAAATTCTCAAAAATGTAAGCAGATAGAATTCTAATGCAAAATAGTTTTTGGTCTATTTAATTCTTCTATTAATGCACAGTTCAAAATTTTTAAAGGCAATTTCATTAATTTTCTGAATTCCAAACCATACATTAACCTTTCAACAGTGGGATAGTCAGATATATCCCAAAGTCGTGAAGAATAAACGTGGAAATTTTTAAAGTATTTTTCCATGCATTTTTTTTCTCATTACCATTTTGGAAAAAGATTTTGTAAACAGTTATGTCTAGTAAAGAAAAGTCTTTTTTTTATTGTTATATAATTTATTTTTTATCTGAAGTTTTTTTCGCAATAGTTTTTAGCGATACCCCCAAGAGAATTCAACAGATATATACATCCCTCACCAGTGCCACACGATCGCCCTGGATGAATATATCTGTCCCTCATTGTTGAGTGGTTAATAGAAGAATTAAATAGGGTTTTAAAGGAAATAATAATAAATTGTTTGGATCTATCTACTTCTATCCGAGAATTTTTGTAAAAGGATTTTCCCATAGAAAAAGGATTAAACTTTTAATGCCATCTGCTGGGATTATGTGCATAACCAAAGAGGTTGCAATTAGCTTTAATATTCCATAATTTGTTCTTAATAATTTAGAAATATTTAGATGAATACTTGATAAGANTCCCACTTAATGTCAGTACTGAATAAAATACCTATATAAGTAACAAAGTATTGTGTTTAGATGTAAATGCTTACCTTAAAGCATCATTTCCTGATTGCCAAGCAATTACTTTGTACAAACAAATGTACTACAATGTAATAATGTGAGTGTTATTTGCTCTTGAGCAGACCACTATTTGGTTTGGTATTATGTCTGGTTATAGCCACCTTTTTCTGGTCTTGAGTTGTAACAAGTTTCTATAACAAAACTGATGAGCCAGAGGAAGTGGGAAAGGAAAAAGTGTTTATGTCACCAGTGCTCAAGTCCATACAAGCATTTATTGACGTTTTGGAGGGAGTAGGTTCATAACCTACATGTGTTGTAGATTCCATGTGCACTACCAAGCATGTTTCAATTTTCAATTTCAATTGATGCAATACTACATTATGGCAAATGCTCTGTAACCTTTACAAGATTTTATATTTAGCAAATTAGCTATCAATTTATGCATACTTATGACATCAGACACTAAAGCATTCATTATTTTAAAGCAGTAAATTTTTGATATTTTATTTACATTTAACAATTTAATCAATGTAGAATCATCAAGAAATTAAAAATATTTTTAATTGATTGGTGTTTAAAAATAAATTTCTTATTATAACGCATTCTTGAAGAATATATGCAAATTCTTTCTTTTTAAGCATCTTTGTAGATGAAGAATTATATTTCTTCAATGCAATTCATGTAGAATTGCATTGAAGAAATATAATTCTTCATATAATTCTGAACAGATAATGCTAATTCACTCCAATTTGTAATGATCCTGGACTTCTTATGCCGTTTTTTATCTATTAATTTAACTTCAAGATGCGGGGTACATTGCCTAGTAAAGTGGCTTTAATATGGCCAGGCCAGATAAAAGCCCATTTCGTTTGAAACAGACTGTCATTGGTTTGTTTTTCTGGCCACATTAAAATCGCTTTACTGGCTGACATAACCGTTGCTGTTTCTTCAAATCGTAAAGAAAATAAATAATAAAATAAGTCAAGGAACATTTTAACTGACTTTTAATGATTCCTTTAATTTAATTCTTAAATTATGTATTCAGAGTTTGAAATCGAGATAAGTGATTTGAAATATATAATTACAAACCATAATCATTAATGAATATATGAATAATATTTATTTATATTTTTTTTTATCTGATGAAATTACCATAGAAATCTGATCTACAGAACTCAATTTTTCCTATCAAACACTTTATGATGATTTATTATTGTATTTTTATAAAATACCAAAAGAAATTCGAATAAATTTCTTTTATTAGAATTTCTTTTGAATTCACTGCTTATATTAGAATTAGAATTCACTGCTTATAATTAATTCATTCTTTAAACTTTGAGCTCTTATCTGTCTAACCAAATGTACTTAATTTGTATAAATTTGATCAGGATTTTGTTTAAAATCATAATTAAAAACTGTTTCCTTAAATAAAATCAGATAAACTTTGTCTGCACACCTGTTTACTGTTGCCTGTAGCATTATTTTTTAATCACTTAGTTTCAGATTAATATCTGATTAAATATTCATAAGATATAACTTTTACTTTTAAAAAATATAGAAATATTGTATGCAGTTTTTTATTTTTTATCCTTATATCTTTATATGAATAATACTTCATTTTATTTGTCGTATTTATCAATAATTCTATCATGACATGTCAAAGAAGAATTTTACACTTCGTTATCAACGGCATTTTAATAATCATACCACACATTCAACTGTATGTATTTATACATTTAAGTTAGAAATACTTTCAACTTACTGTATTTTTGCTATTTCTTCATTTATATATATGTTAAAAATTTCAAAAATTGCTTCTTGTTTATTTCAAAATGTGTTAACAAGTTTTGTGTAAAAGTATGGTACATGTACTGTACATCCAAATGATGTCCCATAAGTACAAAGCCACAAAAGTTAAGTTGATCTTTGTGTACTCTTTCAGGTAAAGCATGACACCAAGTAAGGAGGAATGAATTCAAGTTATTTTGATGATAGTGGGGAAACGAAGTGGTTGGGATGCAGCCTGTTAAACACTTCAAGTTCTTGCTAACTGCAAGTCTCTACCATCAAAATATATTAATTTCATTCCAGTTGGTGCCATGCCTATTTATAAAAGAATAAGCAAAGACGGATCAATTGAACACACTACCCCCCCCAACCACACAGGNATAATCATTAATGAATATATGAATAATATTTATTTATATTTTTTTTTATCTGATGAAATTACCATAGAAATCTGATCTACAGAACTCAATTTTTCCTATCAAACACTTTATGATGATTTATTATTGTATTTTTATAAAATACCAAAAGAAATTCTAATAAATCGACATTCACTGCTTATAATTAATTCATTCTTTAAACTTTGAGCTCTTATCTGTCTAACCAAATGTACTTAATTTGTATAAATTTGATCAGGATTTTGTTTAAAATCATAATTAAAAACTGTTTCCTTAAATAAAATCAGATAAACTTTGTCTGCACACCTGTTTACTGTTGCCTGTAGCATTATTTTTTAATCACTTAGTTTCAGATTAATATCTGATTAAATATTCATAAGATATAACTTTTACTTTTAAAAAATATAGAAATATTGTATGCAGTTTTTTATTTTTTATCCTTATATCTTTATATGAATAATACTTCATTTTATTTGTCGTATTTATCAATAATTCTATCATGACATGTCAAAGAAGAATTTTACACTTCGTTATCAACGGCATTTTAATAATCATACCACACATTCAACTGTATGTATTTATACATTTAAGTTAGAAATACTTTCAACTTACTGTATTTTTGCTATTTCTTCATTTATATATATGTTAAAAATTTCAAAAATTGCTTCTTGTTTATTTCAAAATGTGTTAACAAGTTTTGTGTAAAAGTATGGTACATGTACTGTACATCCAAATGATGTCCCATAAGTACGAAGCCACAAAAGTTAAGTTGATCTTTGTGTACTCTTTCAGGTAAAGCATGACACCAAGTAAGGAGGAATGAATTCAAGTTATTTTGATGATAGTGGGGAAACGAAGTGGTTGGGATGCAGCCTGTTAAACACTTCAAGTTCTTGCTAACTGCAAGTCTCTACCATCAAAATATATTAATTTCATTCCAGTTGGTGCCATGCCTATTTATAAAAGAATAAGCAAAGACGGATCAATTGAACACACTACCCCCCCCACACACACAGGGTATCCATGATCCCCTTCATATCTGGGTCTTTTCTTTTTACTAATGAAAATTGTTTTAAAATATTGAACAAACTATTGCTTATAAGTTTAACATAATGAAAACACTATGTTTTAAGGAAATATACAAAACTTGGCACCAATGAACAAATATGAAAAAAAAAAAATCATTGATCTACTTAATCAAAAACTAGAAATATATGGATAAAGTGAGAGTTTATATAGTGAATACAAATTATTAAAATACAGGCATTTTCCCACTTAATGTCAGTACTGAATAAAATACCTATATAAGTAACAAAGTATTGTGTTTAGATGTAAATGCTTACCTTAAAGCATCATTTCCTGATTGCCAAGCAATTACTTTGTACAAACAAATGTACTACAATGTAATAATGTGAGTGTTATTTGCTGTGTTGTAAGAAGTTTATGATACAAAACAGCAGTAAAGAAATTTATCAAAAAAATGCTGACAAAATTTGCAATAAAATGAACTGCAATATATGTTTAGAAATGTCTGACAATTCAGCAAATTATGTAATTGACACTATTCTAGATACATCATAAAAACATGTTGAGACTGTTAGAGATGTTAATATGATATTATAATGTGATGCCCCTTCAAGTACCAACTACATTCAAGACACATTCAATTTCTTGTTTTTCACTGAGCTAGTCAACTATATCTGAAATGTAACTTGAGATTTTCCCACTTATTGTTTTGTTAAAGACATGTTGTATTTTTAGGATGTAAATATGTTTCTTATATAAATATTGTATTGAAAGATACATTGTACAAAGTTTGGGTATTAAAAATCAAAGGGTATTCTACCAGGAAATATTAGATGAAGATATCTGTATTTAATGATGTGGATTTTATTTTCTAAACATTATATTACAAAATTAAAGAGCATTTCCACTTTAATATTTGTTGATTACCCTTCAAATCTAACCTCTAAAGTTTATCGCAGCAAGTATTAGACATTAAAACTGATGGTTCTATGGTCTATTTTTATTTTGAAGATGCAATATTTTGTTCCTAGAACAACTGTACCTACATATTTAAAGCCAAAAAATTTCTGTTATTAATGAAAAAGATGCATAGATTAAGTTGTTGAATTTGGCTAATTCTCTTTATTCCATAAATTATCTTAAAAAGTTTTCTTGATTTCTGTTATATATATAGCTTATCATTAACAATTATTGAATAAAATGAAACAATAAAACAATTTATTTCCTCGTAGTTTTTTCACTTTTGACACCCACTTTAACTAAATTATTCCTCTTTTAATTATTAAATTTTTAAAAAATGTTTGCACATAAGCTGCCTATATACTAAAGTCAATACTCTATGTTTATAAACATTATATACATAATTATTCTATTTTTTATTAACTTCTGTTCTTAAATGCAGAACAAACATTTGTTCTCAAACATTCAATTTTCATGTAATTTAAAGTTAAAAGCAAAAATATTTCTAGCTAGAAGATTTAAAAAACAATGTCTCAGAAAAAGTGCAAAGAAACAAGTCTTTCAATTTCACAAAACAGTTCCATAAAAATCAAAATTATATATGCATGACAGATCTTTCCTTGAAAGCATTTGCCAGAAATGGCAATTTTACCCCTCCTTGTTGATAAATACTACTAAAGCAGTTATGACAGAAGTTTATGTATTGGCAAAACATAAAATGGCTTCGTCATATCTTAATTAAAAGATTTCGAAACATGTCTTTCAATTTGACGAAAATTGCACGTTTGAAACAGATCTTTCCTCTCGGGCATTTGTTGGAGATAGAGTTTCATCCTCCCCGTCCAGTATATAATTTTCCTTGTTACTAAACTACTTCATCAAACTGAAAGATAATTAAAGATGTAACAAAGTCATTTTATATTTTATAGAGCATTTTGGTTATCCAAAATAGTTTCATCTTTATTATATTATTTTACAGCATTAATATTTAGTGGATGTTAGCATATTCTTTATTCTATGCTCATATTGTTAATTAAATAAATCTACTCTTTTTCTTTTATAAAAGTATTTAAATAAATATTTATTTCAATTAATATTATATGCAACATAATTGATTAATACATTTTTGATTATGTTTTAGTTTGTCATCACAGATAAAACATTAGCGTTGCAAGTATTAGATACCATTTTAAACATTGCCACTTGGACAAGATAAAGTGTAAATATATATTTATATATATAAAATAACAATTTAACCCATGATTAACTTTTTTTATATTATGCCTAAAAGCATAACGTGCATCTAACTTACATCTTCTGTATCAACATGGCAGATGCACCGCCTCCTCCGTTGCATACGCCAGCCATTCCGTATTCGCCAGGTTTTAAGGAAAAAGCTAAATGGTTCAGTACTCTGGCACCCGACATTCTAATATTAATAAAATATTTATATTAAACATTTCTAAACAATAAAATATTAAAATTTGATAAATTTTATATGAAATATACCCTAAAGGATGTCCTAGACTGACGGCACCTCCCCAGGTATTCACTTTTTCCAATTCTAAATCGAGTATTTTCACATTTGATAAAGTCACAACACTGAAAGCTTCATTAATTTCCCACAATGCAATTTCACTCTTTTTGATTCCAGTCATTTCCAACAACTTTATGGGGGAGAATCAATATCGATAACTTTTTAGATTAAGTTTAAATAAATTAAACAAGTTTAATGAAAATTAAAAATTACCTTGGTTATTGCAAAAGAAGGAGCAATAGGAAAATTTATTGGTTCAATTGCAGCATCTGTAAAACCTGAATATAAAAATGATTAACTATAATAAATTTATTAAAATTTTTAAACTTAATACCTCAACACGCAGAGAGAGATTATAAATTCATTCTGATTACTGTAAAATTTAAAACATATATTACAAATATAAATATAATTAACTGTTGTGCTGATATTTGAGTAATTAGACTATTGCTGGATCCTGAAAACATGAAGAAGGACAAAAGACAGACACTTAATTTTGTGTTTCTTCTACACATAAAAGAAACACTGTTTTTGCCTTTTATACATTATTTAGATGGTGACTGACTAAAGTGGTCTAAAGTGTTAGTTTTTTAAAAATCTTCTAGTTTAAAAGTTTATTTTTTATTATAATACTGTAACCAATTGTCTTGTTTACACTTAAATTGAAATATTAGCAATATGAGTTAAATTTAAAAACAATTAGAATTTATGTGGAAAACTAACAAATATTCATAATTTATTTGCTATTTTCAGTTAATATAAATTTGAATCACTAACAGTTAATGTTAATTACGTAAGAAACAGTAAATATTTAGTATATTGCTCAAATAAACAATATACAAGGTGTCCTGTAAGTCTGGAACCATTGCAGTTAGGTTGACTTTGTTTATTCTTTTACAGGTAAAGCATAGTGTTGAGTAAGGAGGAATGAGTTCAAGTTATTTTGATAGTGGAGACTTGCAGTAAGCAAGAAGTTGCCAGACAGTTTAATGGGCTGTATGCTGACCACCATATGTGATTGATGGGCAGCCTTTTAAACTCTGGCAACTTCTTGTTGACCACAAGTCTCCACCATCGAAATAATTTCAATTTATTCCTCCTATTCAACACTACACTTTACCTGTTCTATAGTTCTAGACTGATGTGACTGTGTATAATTTATAAGTGAATTCAGTTACTACAGTGTAGATATACTTGTATATAGCTTAGATTATTCTTCAGCAAAGATTTTATCAAATCAGAATTACATTTTACAAATGAAAAGAGAAAATATCGTAACTATACTTTTAAAGACTACTCTCATTCCATAAATCTTATTAAAGAAGTGAATTATTCCAGTTTTAATTTTAAAATTTGAAATAAATTAAACTATAATATTTTGAATTTCAGTAACTTACCAATAATTTTTGCCAAAGGTTTGATATTTAACTTATCAGCTGCATTTCTTGTCATTAGGACACAAGCGGCTGCACCATCTGCTATCGAACTAGAATTAGCTGCAGTTACGGTACCTAGGAGAAATTTTAAATAAACATATCAACTATGATATTTTGTATAAAATATGGAATGTGAAAAACAGTCTCAAAGGTGGAAGGAGTAGGTGGCAAGGGCCAGCATTTCTGAATGGAACTTGAAAAACAAAACACCAGTTTTGAACATTTGGGTAAATGTTATACGCTGTAGAGTTTTTGGAGTTAAGGTTAATTGCAACCTCTTTGGTTATGCACACAATCTCAACAAATGACATGAAAAATTTAATGCCTTTTCTATGGGAAAATCCTTTTATAAAAATTCTCAAAAATGTAAGCAGATAGAATTCTAATGCAAAAAAGTTTTTGGTCTATTTAATTCTTCTATTAATGCACAGTTCAAAATTTTTAAAGGCAATTTCATTAATTTTCTGAATTCCAAACCATACATTAACCTTTCAACAGTGGGATAGTCAGATATATCCCAAAGTCGTGAAGAATAAACGTGGAAATTTTTAAAGTATTTTTCCATGCATTTTTTTTCTCATTACCATTTTGGAAAAAGATTTTGTAAACAGTTATGTCTAGTAAAGAAAAGTCTTTTTTTTATTGTTACATAATTTATTTTTTATCTGAAGTTTTTTTCGCAATAGTTTTTAGCGATACCCCCAAGAGAATTCAACAGATATATCCATCCCTCACCAGTGCCACACGATCGCCCTGGATGAATATATCTGTCCCTCATTGTTGAGTGGTTAATAGAAGAATTAAATAGGGTTTTAAAGGAAATAATAATAAATTGTTTGGATCTATCTACTTCTATCCGAGAATTTTTGTAAAAGGATTTTCCCATAGAAAAAGGATTAAACTTTTAATGCCATCTGCTGGGATTATGTGCATAACCAAAGAGGTTGCAATTAGCTTTAATATTCCATAATTTGTTCTTAATAATTTAGAAATATTTAGATGAATACTTGATAAGATCTTTTATTATTAAAAATTATTGTAAGATGAAAAAGAATTTTCTAAATGATATACTCAAGATAACTTGTAATTAAAGTTTGATAAGAAGCAGAGTTCAATTGTTTACATTATTATATTTGTATATAATAGGATGAATAAAAATATAATCTGATTAAATATGTAAATGAAATATTTAAAAATAATTTATTATTTCTAGCTTAAACATAAAAATATATAAGAAGGCATGTTCCAAAGGTAAGTGATTTAAAAAATTTATTAGACTTACATTGAAGGGGATAATTTGTAATTTCATATATGACCCTCAGGAAGTTACACAGTACTGCCATTACTTTTTTCCACTAATCATAGTGGTGCTAGAAATCATCTTGGCACAATGTTTTTAAATGATGTCTGTAGTTCCATAATGATGACCTTTCACCTTGGGGAAGTGATAAAAGTAACACAGAGTCAAGACTGGGCTTTAGAGGAGATTGTGCGTGCTGGAATTTTTTTTGGCTAAAAACTCTCAAACCAACAATGCAGCATGAGCATATGCATTATCAGGGTGTGCCACCTACTCATCCACAACTCAATGTCATTTTGAACTTGCTAGACTTGAAGGTGTTGCAAGACATTCTGATAAAAAGTTTGATTCACTGTCTGCCCAGAAGAAAAACTTCTTAATGGATAATTCCAAAGATTTCAAAACAGAAAAGCATCTTTGATTTGGTTCTTGCTTACTTCAAAGAAACTGTGAGATAGGCCATTTTTACCTTGACTGAAGATCATACTCCTACTATGACTAAGAAATATGGCTTTATTTCAAGCCTTTCCAGGAAATTCTGGCTAATTGTCTACATTATTTTTGTTCCTCAGATATACAGTATTTCCTTGGGATGATTTCATACAAATTTTTCTTTTGCATTTGCAAAACACATGTTAAAATTCTGAATTTTTATCTAAGTGCATCTGTTCTACAATCATCCTCATGTGCATTTGATGGTCTTTTAAAATCACATTTCACTTAGTGTCTATGTTTTTGTCATTCTTTAAAATGGTTGGCCTTCCAGAATGACATTTGTCTTCAACAGTGTTGTCTCTCTTTTTGAAAGCTTGTTCCACTTTGCATCTCCATAAGCAACCATCAAATTTTTAAATACTTGGAGATTTATTGAGTTTAACAAAATTTAATACTTTCCTCTATTGAAAATGTGATGCAAAAATATATAACTCTGCAGTAACTCAACTGATCACACTAGGACATGTATTTCCAGTTAGATAATAACATCTACATAGGGATGTGCAAAAACAATGTGCTACACTGTATAGCCAAACAATAATTTTGGTACACTTACTTTTGTGACACACCTTGTATTTATTTTAATTTTATTTTTGAAGCTTTTAAAAAATTTTAAACAAAAAATATTTTATCATCATAATTACCATTATTTTTATCAAAAACAGGAGGTAGCCTTTTTAATTTTTCATAATCCACACGTTTGTACTCTTCGTCCTCACTTATGATCACGTCAGGTTTCCCTTTCTTTCCAGGAACTGTAACTGATACAATTTCTTGTTTCATTTCACCTGACTGTTTTAAGATAAAATAAAATATTTACATTAAGAAACCTAAGAAAAATATTATTATTTTGGAGCATGACAGTTAAACATATATTTTTTACTTAAATATCTCTTTTATATTTTAATATCTCTGCATCCAGGCAAGTATCAAACTCTTGTTATGCAGGGATGTAGTCAGAAATTTCAGAGTGTAAGTCACCTGCCTGGTTAATGGTTTTCAAAGACACATAGGTGGATAGGCTACTGTAAAAACACAACAGCCCATAATCACATTGTGTGAGGAACTGCCGTATTGGTATGGCAGCTCCTTGCACGTCATACCAATATGGTTGATTTGAGCCTGATACCCGTTTTTCTCTAATAATAAAAAGAAAATAATAGTATTAATAAGAATGCAAAGTAAACTACAGAAAATCCTTTGCAACAGAATCATTAGAAATGTGTATAAGCTTATGATAGGTCATAAAAATACTGTAGAAAGCAGTTCTGTCCTGTCTCAAGTAATAAAATCAAAACTCCATTCAAAAATCATTAAGAAAATTAAGATAAAAAATATTCGATTTTAATAATTAATATATTTAAATAACCTATAAGTCACTGGATGGTGAGGGATGATGGCCAAAACATCTGGGACAGACCAGCCATAGGAAATTTCTGGAGTTATTTGTCTGGATTCAAATGCAGGTCTCCCATAGTGGTAGACTGATACCACTCAGCCAGTTAGAATCTATATAGATTCATACAAAAAAATATTTATTTGTTTTCTTTCTGTTACATGAATTTTAATTTCTCAGCTATTATAGAATGTTTTTTGCATCCCTTATTTTTTGCATTTTGAAGACTTGATACTCACAGAGCCCAAAAATTTTAAAGAAACCACCTACAAAATTTTGTGTGTGTCAACAGGCAACTATTTTTATTTTATCTTACTGGATGCCATTAATTTTGAAACTTGGCAGAGTTATTTCTATATATGGGGCACTGATTCTAGTAAATTTTAGTACTTAGAGAGTTAAGAAAGTAGGGAGAGAAGTGGGTCATGTGTCATATCTTGAATTTAGTCAGATAATGAAAAGTTTACTTGTTATTAACATATGCAATTTCATTAAAACAGTCTTGCCCAAAAAATGCACCTTTTGTCTTTTTATAATAATTAATAATATAAAAATTACTTTTTAATAAAATCTTATAACTGATGACAAAATCAGACATTTTTACTACTGTAGACATTAATATAATCCTTTATTGGAATGGAATAAATAAACTTCAAGGCCTTTTCAATATTTCCTGTCTTATGACTTTTTAAATGGTGAAAATTTTCACATAAACTTGCCAATTATATGTATCATTGGATAAGTTTTAAATATAATAAACTAACTTCAATGATTTATTTTTAATATATTAAGCACTAAGTTAATTGAATTAATTACATACAAATATATATATGTGGGCGCGCAGCTATCACTGTGGCTGTTGGTGTGTTTTGTTGCAGAGTTGCGCTTGTTGTGGCCAAGTTTTGGAAATTGGTCTTTATTATGGATAAGTTTGTTAAATCAAAAGATTATGTAAGTCAGGATAGTGCCAAACAAAAAGAAGTAGCTTTTAAGAAGAACATTATGTTATCAAGAACACCACCAGGTTTCCAATTTTTTTCTCTCTTTTATCTATATTTTTTGTTCTAGAAAAAGAAATATAGATAAAAGAGAGAAAGAAATTGGAGATACACATAAGAAATATATTCTAAATGGATACCCAAAAAGATTATTAAATGATTGGTACCACAGATTTTTAAGAAATAGATTTAAAGTTAAACATCGTCAAGAAATAATACAGTATGTACCATTTCTGTATATACAAGGTATTTATGAAAAATATAAGTTTTTTAATCAAAAATTAATTAGATTGGCTCCATCTTTAAACAACAGGTTATCAAATATGATGATTATAAGAAGCCAAAAAGGATTTATTAGAGGAAGAAGGTGTTGTTTATCAAATAGAATGCACATATAATAAATAACCCTAGTTTTTACATTGGTGAAACGAAGAGAAGATTGAAGATTAGACTGTCAGAACATCTGGCTTCTGTAAGGTTAAAAATTAGTAATTCTCCTGTCTTCCAACACTGTAATAGTAATAATTGACAGATTAATACTAATAAATTAAACATTATTTTTAGAGAAAAAAAACCAATGTAAAACGGAAGGTAAAAGAACACATTGCTATAAGTATGCAGAACAATAATGTAAATTTAAATACAGGAATGTTAACAGTGGAATGCTGGGAAGTTTTTGTAAACTATATAAGTGGTTCTTTTTTAATAAGTTGATTGTCGGAGCATGAACTGTGTATGATTAGCCCCACTTTCATAGGCGAAATGCATTTGGGAAGCTTGTTAGTAATGTAAATAAAAAGTATTTTTCTCTGCAAACTGATTTCTTTTTATACCTTTTTAGCTTTAATCTTTTTTAATTATTGTTGGTTTAATGTTTTGAAAACCTTTTGAAGTTATATAATATCCATAAGTCAGAAGTAAAAGAAAAATATAATTTTTTTGTGTAATTTACATTTATGGAAGATGAATAGGAAAAATAGTCTGACTCCATCGTTTTTTACAGTTATTTTGGAATATAAGTTTATTTTTGTTTATATTAGAATAGAAGTTTACATTAAATGTTATAAGTTACTTGAGATATTATTATTATTATTATATATATTTACTAGCTGTTACCCCTGGCTTTGCCCGCGTGGATTTTGCAAGCAAACCCCACTTATATTCAGTATTTCAACAACCATAGTAATTGTTATATAACACCTACCGCTGAATATGATGAGAATTGCCGAGAATCAAACAAACTATTTTCAATGTGATCAATTTTCTGGAACGTTTACAATCGTTCTATAATCGAACCAATATGCAATAACAAATTCGAATTTAAAATGGTTCAAACATTTTTAAAATTGAAATAGATAAAAAATATTTATAACAATGTCTGAAATGTTATTAATTTAATACACCTAAGTACTCGATGAAGACTAAATCATCTCCCTCTCTTGCCCGCGAGGAAATTTCGAAAAATCCCTTCTTAGTGTGCATTCTCATGGCATACCCTACTAAAACGCAGATAAAAACAAAAAATCGCATCTAAAATAGTATAGTAGAAGCCGTTCTTCCGGTTAAGCCTTAATCCTCTCCCTCTCCCACGGAGGAATTTCGAAAAATCCCTTCTTAGTGTGTGTTTCCATGATGTACCCTAACTGTCTACCAAATTTCACCTCTTTAGGTTAAGCGGTCTGCTCTGGGTGATGATGAATCAGTGAGTGAGTGAGTCATTCAGTCAGTCAGGACAAGCAATTTTATATATTTAGATTTATTTATTAATAATTAACTAATACACTGGAACAGTTCACAGTTGACACTGACAAACAAAAAACACCTTATGTATTTACTCCAGCAACATTTTATAGAAATTATGAATGTTTTCAGCTGCATTGAGAGAGCTTCCTCAGGTAAAGTCATTCTATGGAGAAATGTTCCAAAAAGGTCATTTATAATTTCTATCAAATATTACTGGAGTATCTACATAAAGATGTTTTCTTGTATGTCAGTGTCAATTTTTATATATAAATGATAGGAGTTCAGTTCAAGTTACAAGCTTCAGCACACTTATGGCTGAACACTGTTCTGATAGATATGGTTAAAATGGTTAAGAATAATTGCTGCCTGTTTAAAGACTATGAATAATTGATATAAACTATGATTTTTAATTGAATCCAAAAATTATTTTCAGCCCATACAAAAATTCACTATTTACTAGTAGTAATTTTTTAAAAATTCTCCTTGAAAAATAAGTTCGTACTGAATGTGAAATTATTTTTCAAAACTCAATAGCTTCTATGCTTCAACTAAAACAAAATAGAAAAAATAGCAGAAACTCTTATGCATATATTTTAATCTAAGCATACTTTTATTAACAGAAGGATAAATGTATCATGAATTGCATGAATTCATTCAACTGAATCATAATCATTGAATTCATTCAACTAAATGAATTCAATGATTATGTAATTCACAATTTAGAAGGAAAATTGTAATGAGGTTTATTACAACATTGTAGGTACAATATAAAATTAAAATTTAATATGACCTCATAACAATATTTAATTTGAATGGCATAATGAGATCATATTATATTTTAAATATTAAGTATTTATATTTAATTTTTATTACTGAAAAGTAAATAAATTTTAAAACTATTAAACTGTTCTTACTTCAATTGCTTGAGCACTTCTTTTGTAACTGGATATAGTATATTCATCTTGCTCTTGTCGAGATATGTTATATTTCTTTGCAATGGCTTCTGCACAGTTTCCCTAAAAATACATTTTATTCTATTAAGAAATATGTTATGAGGAATTTAACATCATATTATTAAAAATATTTAATATTTACAATACAAAACTTTCATCATTAGATAATTATTTATTATTATTAAATCTCTGAATTATTTTATGATTATAATTAAACTGCAAAACAATATTTATTCATCTTTAATTTAATATATGTCAATGTTGGAGATGTAACCAACATTGAACTGATACCTATTTAATATTGGTAACAGTATATCAGAATTATCTGTATTGAAGTCTGTTTGTTTTACAAACTGATGTCCGATCTTTCTTTTCCTTTTTTCGATATTCTAAAGATCAAGACCATATGCTATATCAGCATATTGGAATGTTCATGGTATATTGGTAACATTGACAAACCAACACAATATTTTTTTTTTTTTTTGCAGTCACTATCAAAAAATGAAAGATTGAAACACAAATTTGTAAAATGAATTGATTTTAATATCAGGAACATTCTGATATGCTGATATATCAGTGTCAGTAAGCATCTCTAATATAGTTTCATATGTATGAACATGTTGAAAATAACAATGTTCTTGATGAAAATATATTTTAATTCTAAGTTTGATCTTTACTATAGATCACTATTATTCTGTACTAAATAACTTACAAATTTTAAATGAGAGAAAAGTTAAATCATTAGGGGATGAAAATAATTTTTATTCTTCACTGTAAATTTAATTAACTTAGCTGTTATTCCTTTTGTCTTTTATTTATTTAAAATATTAAAAACATACCATTGAGCCAGCACCATAAGCATCAGTCAAACCATCACTTTCCATTCCATCCTAGAATAATGTAATGAAAATTCTTTTAAAAACAATTACAAAAATAAAAGTTTTTTTCTATGATAAAAATAAAAATATAGAAACTATTTTAAAAAGCTGTAAAATCAGGAATTACAGTATATTATTCACTTTGAATTTATTTCTAAATCCTAACTTCTAAAGAATAATTCTTAGAAATATTACAAAAACACTGGATAGAATCTGTTTTTTAAATCTACTGGGTTACAGCATATGTCACGCAACATAACCAAGGTGTGTTATGATGGAAAAACTAACCTCTGATTGATCATGAGATACAAATTTGCTTACAAACTTAGTTACTGTGGATAACATAATACATGGTTTTCACTCTCTCAGAAACATCATATATAAAGTGAGCTTTGTCTAAAGGAGAGGTCTTAGCTTCAGTAGTATAGAGGTAGTGTGCTTGCCTCTCACCCTCTAATAATGGTTAAAATCCATTGAATCCAGGCATCCAATATTAATAGATGTGTATTCCTTAAATCCTCAGATTTATTGTATTTGTGTTTCTCTGCTTCTTGGGCTCTTAGCAAAATACACAAAAGCTCCCAGGAAAACTGGGGATTGAGGAAGAAATCTGGAAAATGAGCCTAAGTGTAGACAGTCAGTACAGCTTATTACTTGTAGGTTTCATAATATAACATAGGACAGGTATGGTTAAACTTTTTGAACCCATGTGCATACTTAGTTTAATTTAATTTCTATTTTCGTTTTTCATTACTTTATTTATCCATTTCATCTTATAATTTTTTAGGGCAGTGTTCTGCAACTTGTGTGCTGTCACAAGGTGAAAGGGGTGACATGAACTTTTACATATTCTTATTAATTTCAAGTTTTATTTATATATTTTTATCACAGTTGTTGTGTTTCTTATGCTTGTATTTCATTCACTGATGAAATAAGATGATGTTAAAGCAATAAACACATATGTCGTCCCAGTACTCACTTATTCTTTTGGAGTTATACATTGGACTCACACAGATCTTGAGCAACTCCAATTAAAAACAAGAACACTTACTACGCATAATCATCATCATCCTAAATCTGCTATAGAAAGATTAACCCTTCAACATAAAGATGGTGGACTTCACCTGATCGACACAGTTAACTCCACTACAAACAAATACAGACATTGCAAGAGTTTTTCTACAAAAAACAAGAAACATCACAGTTACATAAAGCATTAACTCTAGCAGACTCAAATAATACACCATTAATTAAATTTACATTCACAACATACGGACATGACAACATATAAATAGAATAGACACCATTAAGCAATCGTGAGTGCAAAAGGCACTCCATGGCAGACATCCCTATGACCTGGCTCAGGATTTTGTTGACAAAACTGCATCAAACAGCTGGTTAGCTTGGGGATGCCTCTTTTGGGAGATGGAAGAATTCATGATTGCCATACAGGTCATAAATACTAAAAACTACAGAAAACACATACTCAAAGATACAATAATCACAAATGACACATGCAGAAAATATCACATCATTCCAGAAACCATACAACACATCACTTCTGATTGCAACCTCTTGGCACAAACAAATAATTTACATAGACATAATCAAGTAGCAAATACATCAAGAGCTTGCAAATAAACACAAATTATTAGACATCCATGAACCATACTACAAATACATTCAACAGACAGTATTGAAAAACAAAAACACACAAAATGTATTACAACAGCCATAATCACAGATAAAACAATTTACCACAACAGACCAGACATCACACTTATTGACAAACACAATAAAATCACATACATTATAGACATATCCATCCCAAACACTCACAATGTACAAAATACATGCAGTGAAAAAATCAGCAAGTACACAGAACTCGTCCAGGAAATAAGGCATCTGTGAAGGATGGATAGGGCGCTTATTGTACCTGTTGTTCCCTTCTCTACAGGTGTCATACCACACATGATACACAAAACTTGGAACATTAAAATTGAATAGAAACACATACATCACACTACAAAAGGCCACTATATTGAATACATGCCACATTGTTAAGAAATTCCTGAATACAGACACAGACTGTACACTTATTTAATTTTTGTCTTGTTTTGAAGTTACTATGCCTTGAATCTGGTCCGGCATAGTACACAGCCATCGGTGTCAACTGAGTGTAACTCACAAAACTCAACATAATAATAATAAAAGTATGGCATTACGAAATTCTATTAATAGTATCATATCATACTTTTTGAGGGGAATAACATTTTGGTGTGCCGTGCTGAGTCATGTCGAGTCATAGGCATGCTGCGAGTAGAAAAAGGTTGCGGAACACTGTTTTAGGGTAATCATTAAACAAATATTTTTACTATTTGTTGTATTTCTTTTTCCTGATTTTCTATTTAGAAAACAGAAATATACATTTTAATGATGATGAAAAATGTGTGAAATTAAATTAAATTATTCTTAAATTATTTGAGAGTAAAAAAACTATTATATATAATAAAATAAATTTAATACCTGAAAAAAAAATTACTTAAAATACATTTATATTATAGAAATAATAAAAAACCTGAAATAATAGAAGAAAAAGTAGTAGTATATTCTTTTCAATATAGTTATGGACAAGAAAAAAATGTACATAGGTGAAACGAAAAGAAAATTTAAAATACATATAAAGGAACATATCAGAGCAATGAAAGGAAATTATATAAATTCAGCAATAGCTGAGAATTAAATGTTAAGATAGGTATGTTACATACTGTTTTTTGGATACTTTATATTGGTATTAGCATTGTATTAATATTAGACAATAAAGAAAATGTAATTTTATCTTATTTTAATTATTATTGTTGAGTGTAATATCATTGTTTTAAAAAGTTTTTATGCAATTGTTATAGAATGTTGTAAACGTGCTGAAGAGGAGTCTTAAGGTCTGAAACACACAGAGTGTACAGATAAAAATAAAGATATTTTGTTTTGACTTTTGACTAAGATTTTTTCTCTTTGCTAATTAGAAACTACACCAATATAATAAGTCTTATAAATATATAGTTGTTATTAATATATTTTCTGGAGTGTGTTGCTTCAGTAGTATAATTAAAAACTGGTAAATATTTCAAATAAATAGTATCATACCTTCAACATTATACTACCAAATGGAGTATCTCCACGAGGCAGATAATATGGTGCATTTGACATACTTTCCATACCTCCTGCTACAACTATTTCCTATAGTTAAAAGATCAAAATGTAAATGAAAAATTTTTATTTCATGTTATTTCTTAAATTTACAAACAAATTTATAAAAAATAGTTTTTAACAAGTATTCTCTTTGGTTCACTTCTCACTATAAAAATTAACTAAATCAGATTTTGAATCAAAGTGTTTATCCAGTAAGTGCAGAAGAATATATGAAAATTTCTTGAATGTATTAAACTGAATAAAGAATTTCATGATTTATTCTGTATAAACAATTTAAACAGAAAAAATGATTTAAATATATTATATATTATATAACTATTTCAGAGTTGTTTAAGCCTAATTATATTCAGATTTCTTTGATTTATATCAAATAATGCTATATTGAAATAAAAAGTAGTATATGGTCAGTTTGCAGTAATTGAAGAATAACTCAAACAGTTTCTAAGACTTTCAAACTCCATTACACTTCTACATGAGCACCATTAGTAGGTTGCAACATAGCTGACTGATATTCAATTTTCACCATGTCTGTAATGACTTTTTCTGAAGAACTAATCTAAACTAACTTAGTAATGTCTTGAGTTTGATGTGATTTTTAATGTAGCCCACAAGAAAAAACTCCAGAAGTGTAATGTCCAGTGATCAGGGAGGCCATGGGATACATCATTCTCTGCCTATTCATCTCTCTAGGAAAGCTTCATTAAACTTGGCATGAATGTCCAAACCTTAATGAAAAGGTTTTGACTCAATGAATTATTCATGCTGGAATATTAAATGAGGATGCAACTCCTGAAGTTGAAAAAGACAAATAAGCCCAATAAATATTAAATATGCTTATTTGTAACTGTTTTCTGCAACAAAAAAGGGATGCATGATTTTGTTATGAAACAACTTACCCCATGCACTATCACAAATGTATTCACATACCATGAAAATTTTCAGATCCCCATATGTGAATGCAGTGTCAGTTGACTTTGCCACTTAAAAACGGTTCCTTAATCAGAGAAACACTTTAGTTAAGTATTGATTGATTATATGAAAGCATGAACAATGTAAATTTACTTCATTGGGATTTTTCATTCAGTTCAATGGCTTGGTCAATTTGTATCTGTAAGCATATTTCAGTTGTTTTTGTAGAATTTTCAATGCAGTTGTGTTTGTAATATGCAATTCTAATAATGCACTTTGACTTGATTTTTCAGAGATTCACTGGTAGGTTTCATGCATTTGCTGTACAGTATTAGATGACAAAGATGGTCACCTACTGTGAAGCTAGTTGGCAAACTGATTTCATCTTATAATTTTGCATCCACCTCTTAATAGAGTTAATGTGTATAGGATTCTTTCTGTATTCTCGCACATATCTAATCAGTACAGTAATCACTGATCAATCTCTGTACAGTAATCATTGATTTCATCTGAGACAGCCACAGCACACTATATGCCTTTTCTGCAATGTCACAATTTTGATTTTGAATGGCTTATGGAAGCCTCTGTCATTTAACCTCAAGAACTGTTTGAGCATTGTCCTATTAGGCCAATTACTGTTGTTTCAAAATATATGCAACACTAAGATTATTTGTAATATTGTGAGGTCATAATCTTAACATTCTTTGTAAATTTATTATAGCATGGAAAATAGTTTGAAATTAGAAAGTTATGCCACCATGTAAATTTAAATTTCAGAAAAATCACATTTTAACAATTTTGACTTATTTATGCAAAAGAAAAGGTAAATATCAGTTTTTTAACATGATTGACAATCAATTTAAGTAATTCTTCAGATAAATCAAGGGTTCCCACACTAGTCACTAGTAACACAGGATGGGCCACTGGATTCATGTAAGAGTTGATAAATTACTTTGGGTAATTTCATGGTTGGTAAATAAACTTATTTTTATTATACAGTAGAACCTCTATTATCTGGACCTCTATTATCTGGATTTTCGATTATCTGGATTGTTCAAAATAAACAAAAATTTTATGAATTTGCTGATTTGCACTTTGCGAATTACGACACTGTTTATATACGTGATAGAATGCATAACTTTTTTTGTTTCAACAACGTCTCACCCAGCACAGTGGATGTAAAATATAACTTGACATACTTATTTATAAATAATTTATATTCAAATTACATCATTTCTATGACCAAGGTCGGCGTAAGGCATGGGCGACATGGGTCACCACCTATGCCTCGCAATCCGAAGGGCCTCTCACCTCGAAGGTTTATGCATTACTTAAAAGCCGCAAATGCGACGAAAAAATTTTACTCATCATAAAACGATAAATAGTTTTATCAAATTTTTATTCATAAAAATGCAGTTTCAACTGCTTTTTATTTTATAAAATCCGTCTTCTTGCACCACCAGAGGGCCTTTTAAACAATAGGTAGTTAGCGCTGGTCAGTAGTAGTCAAAACTCAATACAAACATTTGTTTCTTGAAAATTTGATCACAATTTAAATACAGTATTTATTTTTAATATTGCCGATATGTCATCTAAAAGAAAATGTGCCATATTATCATTAAAAGACAAATTAAAGTATTTGTTTCAATTATCCAAATTTTTCCTTATCCGGACTACCTTCATCCCGAATTAGTCCGGATAATAGAGGTTCTACTGTATTTAAAGATATAAATAATAATAACTGATGTATCTTTAATTTCAGTACAGCAAAACACACAATTTAGAATTTAGAATTTATGCTTAATAGAAAAAACATTATTAATTCTTATTAGAGTTTTTATTTCATCCTATTTGTAGTTTGTTCTTAATATATATCAGTATAGAAAGGGTTCAAGTTAAATCTAGTGTTGGGAAGATGATTATAAGCAAAGTAAATCAGTCAGAAACCAATCTACTTTTCAACAATCATATGTTCAATTTAAAATATAATTTTCTGATATTAGGAAAGTGGTACTAATTTTAAAAATAATGTTTTATGTAGTAAACTTTTTTAAAATTGTTTCTTTTATGATCATCTTTCTGTGAAAATCAATATTGTAAAACATGCAACGATAAGTACAGAATTACAAAAGCTAGGCTTTTCTTCCAAATGATACAAACAAAAAAATATTTAACAACAAATTTTTATCATTTCATAAAACTAATATGAAATAATCAAGTTAATAAATGATTTTGTAAACAATGTTACAAGATGAATGAATTCTTTTCTTCTCTGTATGATGAAGAATAAATTTTTAATTGAAAAATTGTCAAAATGATAAGTATATATTTTTTAACTGCCTTTGTAGAGGAAAGATTTTTAACATTTTACATATTCAGACAGGTGAGTACCTCCATGTAAAGAAAGGACAAATTGTAAAGACAGTTTTTAAATACTGTATATTGTCTTTTTTTTGAAATTTTTGTGAATTTTAAAACTTAAATGTTCTCCATTTTAAAACTATGGTGTAATTTTGTATTCTGCATTATGTGATTGTCAAATGGCTTGATTTGAAGTAATTTTTAGGTTGATTGTATTTATTACAAATACATGATTAATCACTAAAACATAATCACAAAGAGAAGTGAATGCACAAAGTTTCTTAATTTTTATCTATTAAAAAAAATTATATTGTCACCTAGATAACTCAAAAATTTAATTGTAATATTAAAAAAATTAAGACCAGAAATACCTGTTGATTCAACATTAAAGTTTGACACCCAATACTTATTGCTTTCAATCCAGAGGCACATACTTTGTTCACAGTGGTGCAGCATGTTGAATGAGAAAGGCCTATTTTAGAGAGAATAGTATAAAATTTTAATCATAAAAAAAGTAGAGTTAACTAATATTAATATATACAAATATTTCAAGTGAAGTTTTAAATAATAACAAACATTTCAATTATCAAATCAAAATTTTTAATCTTGTGTAAATAAAATATAGAAATTCATAATACCTGCACCCAAAGCAGCTTGACGAGCAGGTGCTTGACCACAAGAAGCCTGTAAAACATTTCCCATAAACACTTCTTGAATCAGATCTTTAGAAATTCCTATAATAATACAAAAGTGTTTTTATTTCTTAGTAAATAAAGTATATAAACTTTACCTAATCAGTATACAAATTATGAATGAACATTGTCTAAGAATAGAATTATAAAAACATTTTTATCCTGTATTTAAATTGTATATTTTTTCTTTGCTGCTATTCTTTTTGCTAATACTAATACATATAAAATCTTTTACACAAATTAAAATCTATATGAATTTATCAGTTTACACATTATGACATAGTTCCTGCTGAATTTATCAATGTACCTTTAACAATGAATAAAGTAGAATGCTAATATTTTCAATCCAGTTAACAGTTGAATGTAGAATAATTCCATTTTCAACTGTCCATGTGTGAAGATGGCACACTATCATATTATAAACGTTATTCTTTAAACTTCACCCATTTTTAAAGATGCATTGGTTAATTTAACTGAATGACCACAGTAGCTAGTTCATCTGTGTAATTTCTAAGTTAGCAACTGTAAATTACATTGTTAATTCCTATCAATTGCTCTAACAATAAAATACAATAGAAATCACAGTACAGATTAACACAAATTTTAACACATTAAAATTATTTTACTAAGTAATGACATCATTTTTCTTGGTTTTTGATAATGGAAACTTAAAATTTATAACACAATCAAAATATTTGAAGCAGACTGATATTAAACAATTTCCACAACAAGGTATAAATAAATCAAAGTGGGCTACAGAGATAAGCTGAAGAAATTCTGAATGATATTCTTTTTTCAAAAAGCAGTATGCCTATTAGCTACAGTCAGTGTGAAAACATAGCAGTAGCATCAGTTTATGTGATGAAAATGAAAGCATAAATATATTGTACATGAGCACTGCCAAATAAATCAGGTGGGCTTACAGCCACTTGAATTAAATTATACATATGTAATCATTGTAAATATATAAAATTTTCAAATGTTACTTAGCATTGTTATGTTAATTTACCATGTTAATGTAATTATAATTGTATGTATCTTTGGAACTTAGCATAAAGTTGCTATTGAGAGCATATCACACGGGAACACTTTCTTTGATGGAAAAAGTAGATTTATTTTCTATAATTTAGAATGGATATGCACTTTGGGCTCTATGCCCCTCTTCAGTCTTTTCAGTCCTTATTTTATTGAAATTACAGAATGTATTAAATTAAATTTAACACATGCATACAAAAATTTTAAAAATATAATTTCCTAAAAATAATCATAGTGACAGCTGGAATAACTAATCATTAAAACCATGGGATAAATAAGTAAAACTGAAATAAATTAAAAAATAAATAAATGTAATAAAATGTTAAAAATAAGATGGTATACCTGTAGAAATAAAAATGTGAAACTGGATAACTCAAGTTATCAAATTTGTTTTAGTTAATAATTATTTTATTTGTAATGGTAATTCTTTTAGACAATTAGAAGGCATCTTTATGGACCTTCTTTAAGGGCCACTAGTCCAAAACTTGCTGAACTTTGCATGATAAAAGTTGATGACATTATCAAAAACCTTCATGGCATAATTTTCACAATCATTATTTTGATGACTGCTTTGCTGTTTATAACATGAAATTAACGACTCACAAATTATGCTTCAATACACCAATAATATCCAAAATATATACTTTGAAATAGAAATGAAAACAATAGTAGGTTAAACTTTTTAGATATCATAGTTTCAAGATATCATAATTTTATTACTTTTAAAAAAATACATTAAATCATGTAAGGTCAGAAAAGTCATCAGTTTCTATTCCAGCACACCTATGTATATATATATATATAAAAAGGACATATTCAATATGTATATAAACAAAATTAAATTACTTACAAGTGATANAGAAAAGTCATCAGTTTCTATTCCAGCACACCTATGTATATATATATATAAAAAGGACATATTCAATATGTATATAAACAAAATTAAATTACTTACAAGTGATATTGCAGACCAAACCACAGGAATAAAAATATATATCGCATTTTTTAATTAAATAACTATCCCAACAAAATTATTAACAAACTAGCAGACCCCGCCACGCGTTGTGGCTCAAAATGTATCTATTATGAATGTATAACACTTCCCCCTGGGGAGGAAATTTTTCGAAAAATTTCTTCTTCGTGTACATTCTCTTGACGTACCCTATTAAAACACAATCAAAAACGCAAAAACCCACATCTAAAATAATATAATAGAAGCCAAGTTTTTCACAGTAAGCCTTAATTCTGTCCCTCTCCCCTGCGGGGGAATATCGAAAAATCCCTTCTTAGTGTACATTCTGTTGACATACCCTATTAAAACGCAATGAAAAACGCAAAAAAAAAAATGCATCTAAAATAGTATAAATAGAAGCAGAGTTCTTTATGGTAAGCCTTAATCCTAACCATCTCACTTCAGTGGAGGAAATTTCGACACGTATAATATATAAAAAGACGTGCGTATTAGAATGCAGCATTGTGTGAAAATTTCAAAGGAGTTGGTAGGAACAAACGAACATTACATCTTTATTTATATAGATAGATAGAAGATGATCTGCTTTAATTCATTTTCACAGAAAAGCATAATGCCTCACAGAAAAGCAAACTTAGGGCGTCGTACTTGTAGTGCCATCTATTGGGCATAAAAGCCTTAACCTAGATTATATTTTTTAATTTATATGAATGTTTATCGGAATAATATACAGCCTATATCCACCCTGAGGTTCCATTCTAAATATTGGTGAAAGAATTTTTGAAATCGGATGAGTAGTTTCGGAGATTACCTGCTGCAAAGAAACTTACACACATACATACAAACATTACCTCTTTATAATATTAGTATAGATGGCTATATAATCACACTATAAAACAACTGATGCTTAAAACACAAATAATTTATAGAAAACTATATTATATCCTGATAATTTTTGAAAACATCCAAAAAATGTTAACACCATATACAGTAATGTTATTCTTACCCCTCACACATAATAAAACAACAAAATGAGAAATTTCTTAAAAATCAAAAAATCAATTAATAGTAAAATAACTGTATTATTAAATAATAATTTAGTTTACAGCTTCACTTGTACTTGTCAACCAAAATAATATTATATAGGTGAGTTGGGTAGAATGTTAAAAATTAGAATAAGAGAGCATATAAGGGCTGTGAAGTATGATTACACGAACTCAGCAGTCACCGCGAACTGCAGTCATGCTGGTTGCGAGATCTCACTTGACAGCATCAAATTTCTTTAAAAAAAAAAAAAAAAATTATTATTGAAAGAAAATGTTTTGAACATATTGAAATTATTAAAATAAACAAAATTCATAAAATAAATTTAAACACTGGCATTGTCAACAGTGAGATCTGGCAACCATTAGTATCAAAATGAGAAGAGTGCATTTTAAGATGTTCTTCCTTTCTTCCCCTCCCCTTTTAACCCACTGTATCAAACAAAGTATCAGACTTCTTGATAAACATACAGTGAAAGCTTTTACACCTTATTTTCAACTAGTTTTTACTAGTTTTAAAGATTTTTTTACCTTTATTAGTTTTATAATAAAGATTTTAATAATTTTACCTAATTTTTTATAAATTTTAACCAAAATAGTTTTATTTCTACAGTGATATCCTGTTATTATTTTTTATCATCATTTTATTCTATTTATTTATTTACTTACTTTTTAATTTATTTCAGTTTTACTTATTTTATCCCAAAGGTTTAATAATTACTTATTCCAGCTGTTACTATAATTATTTTAAGGTAATTACATTTAAAGAACTTTTGTACGTGCATGTTAAATATAATTTTGATACATTCTGTAATTTCTTTCATAGTTTTTACTGATATACATAATAAAATAAGACCTGAAGCGGGGCATAGAGCCCAAAATGCATAGCTGTTCTAAATTATTGAAAATAAATTACTTTTTCCATCAAAAGGAGTGCTCCCTTGTGATTTGTTCTCAACAACAACTTTATGCTAACTTCTGAAGGACATAACTAATTGAGAGAACAGCGAGCAATCAAGTACTATGTATGTATCTTTATTCATAGATATTTAGAATATGAATGGGAAAGGTACTTCTCAGAAAAAATAGAAAAAATTTTGCAGGAAAACTTACTTCTAAAAGGCCACTCACCAGGAAAAATGCATTAATGAATGCTTGTCAAGCAATCTTCATAGAACTATTGTTTTACAAATGAATGTGGAAAAAAGTTGGCTAACAATATCAGTTTAATTTTACTTAATTATTAATTCTAGTATATTTTTGCTTATGCAACAATATTCAAACAAAACATGTTGCCATTTTCTTATTATTTGTAAAAACAAAACTGCTTTCTTGAATTATCTTTAGTCTACTATTGAACTCAAAAAACGTAATTTTTAATGTTTAAAGTATTCATCACGAGATAAACTGGTGCTATTAATCATAATTATTAACAAATGAGATGATCATTTCTTTAAAGTAGAAATTTAAACTGTGAAGTAATGCATTCTGTTATTCACATATGTCATATGCACTGTGCTTTATTATATTTCATGGAAAATTGTTGGAACAGATACTGTCTTTCAAGCAATTTTAAAAATAAAAATTGTTGGAATATAATGATTTGTAGTTGAGGTAGTAATACTATCAGAAATAAACAAATAGAAAATAAGGACATAGAGGCATATAAATTACTTGTGTAGCAATGTTTATAATCTATATGATGTTATTCATTGATATATAAGTTATATGAGTGATGCAGCATTGTATTCTGTAGAATAGTAGTAAACTGCTTACTAAATAGAAAATGCAGATTATAAAATTTTTCCTAGCTGGCAGTCAAAAACAACCTTTGAAATAGGATCACTTTTTAAATACGTATGGCATATTTTGATCAAATTGATTTAAAAATTGATTTCATAGTAAATATTAGAATGGAGCATCACAAAGGATCGTTCCAGACTAATGATTTCTTCTAGTTTATCTTCTTACGGTTTATAATTCTAGCAAAAAGTGCCAACGTCATCTGACAGATCTGTTTTTTCTTTTTGAATCTATTTTTAGAATTAAACATTTTCCCTGAAAATCCTCTACTTCACGAGGGAAGTATACATCAAATTTTATTGAACATTTACCGTTAAATGTTACTAACAGCTAAAAATATAGAAAATTAACTCAATAACATTTGTCAGCATTTAGCATTTATCCAAGTCATTAAGTTTATGAACTGTAAGAATAATGGTTTATTAACATAAAATTGAAAAAATTATTATTAACAACACATTAAAAATATAAATAGTACATAGTATACAAAAATATCCATTTAATTTGCTTACCTGCCCTTTCAACTGCTGCTTGAATAGCAATAGATCCCAATTTCACTGCTGGAATTGATGAGATACAACCTCTATAACCACCAATAGGTGTTCTAGCAGCAGAAACTAACACAACTTCCTATAGAATTTCATAAATTAAATATAAAGTTTACAGAAAATGCAAGATTAAGCATTATAATTATTTTTACAGTTTATAAGAGAATAAATTAAAAATGACCTACATTTATAACCATTTTTATGTCTGATAAAAATACTCAGCTGAAAAAAAAATTAATTATTATAATTAATTCTGTTGAATACACAATTTTAAAGTGTAAAAAATAATTTAATTAGCAATTAAAATTAATTCCTTTATATATTCATTATATATATAAATACATAAAAATATTTTGCTTGCAAAATTCTTAAATTATTTTAAAATTATGCAAGGTACTTGAACTTGAAAATATCTGCGGTTAAGGTCATAAGATTTTTTCATTTATTATTTTTAATGACCTATTAATCACAGTCAATAAACAATACTACAAAACAGCTTCTACAAACAAATGGAACTTTAATGTCAGTCAAGAAAAGGAAAATACCTAGACATTGAATTGAATGTACTTACTCCTTTAAGGAAAAACTGAAGTGTCAATCGTGGCGTGATTCGTAAAGGTCATCCGGAAGAGGAACAAGTTACAAGTTACATCTAAAAAAAAGTATCATCACTGGCGGCAACCACGTGACATTAAAAGACTCGTACCACGTGTGTAATGTATGAAAAATAAAATTCAAAAATGACAACAAGAGCTTTTTAAAATTTTAATTAATTAAAACTTACATATATGAAAATAATTGATATTAAATTTTAAGTAATAATAGTTCTTCTGTTTGATAAATTTTAAGTTAGTTCATGTTTCTAAATAATTATGAATTGGCAACAACTGAATGATTCTATATTCCCACCATCTGGTGGTGAAAAAATATATAATTACTCGTTATTTTTCGTTGAAATTCTTCTGTTTATTGACAAATGATGTGAAAAAATTATGAATTTTTCATATCAGAGTGGAAAGCTGTCAACTAGACCATTCGGTTAACCGGCCTCATAGTCGCGATTACTAGATTAGGTTGAAGTACTGTACTCTATTCCAAAAACTGTCTAGAGTCTAGGTGGGGAACCTGCGGCCTCCGCGAGGTTCTTGTGTGGCCCTTTGCCACCTAGTACAAAAATGGTAGAGTTCGTTTCAAACAACTATTGTACATCAACGCCATGACAGTTGCGCGAAAAATCCCGCCAAAGACAGTCATATTGTAACATGACGTCAGAATACTAGTCTGAAACGGACTCTAACACGCAT